TTTTTTTTCAACGTTTATTTATTTTTGGGACAGAGAGAGACAGAGCATGAATGGGGAAGGGGCAGAGAGAGAGGGAGACACAGAATCGGAAACAGGCTCCAGGCTCTGAGCCATCAGCCCAGAGCCCGACGCGGGGCTCGAACTCACGGACCGTGAGAGCTTGACCTGGCTGAAGTCGGACGCTTAACCGACTGCGCCACCCAGGCGCCCCGCAAAGTCAAATTCTTAAAAGCAAAGGCAGGGGTGCCTGGCTGGCTCAGTTAGTACAGCAGGTGACTCTTGAGTTCAAGCCCCATGCTGGGTGCAGACACTACTTTAAAAAAATAAATCAAGGTAATTATCATAAATGGCTATTAAATTCATTAGGTAAAAAAATGAATGAAAAAAAACGTGGGTAAGGGGAAACTAGCCCTATCAGACATCCCATAATGTCACTCTAATAAAATATGGTATTGGTGTGAAACAGATAATTAGTAAAACAGAATGAAGATCTCAGTTTGCAGGCTTTTAATGCAAGACAAAAGCAGTACTTAATTTAATGGGAAAAAAAATAATGCAAGCACATTGGCTATTATCTAGAAGGAAATGGAACCCCATCTTAATACCATATTCTAGACAGACCAAAACTTTAAGTGAACACAAACAAACCAAAAAACCTAAAAAGTTTTCATTAAAAAAGTGAGAAGATTCTATGTAGCTAAAGATTCATAGCTGGGTAGCCATCATCATCAGTTCTGAAAAACTGGAAGGTATTACAAATAAAGATAGTTGGCTGTATATGATTTTTTTAATATTAAAAAATACATAATAGTCAATAGATAATGAAAAAAAAAGGTTGATAGAGAACTCTTGAATGATCAGATGGACAAAACCTGAACCCACTGATCAATATTAATATCACTTAAAAGTGAGACAACTAGACATTATGTATCTCTTGATGTGATGCAAAAGGAAGTACACAGTAACCCTTATGAAAATTACCTGCAAAATTTTTTGAAAGAAAAGAAAGTTTAATCTAAATATTATCATGCCTCCAGATTTAATTACCAGTTTACAGGAAATATGAAGTAAAGGAGACAGGAATACATTAAATGACACCACAAAAATGAAATAAGTCAAATTCATATGTGAGAATTCCTACAGAGTAAATGATCCAATCCTCAGTTAAAAAAAAAAAAAAAAAAGGGGGGGGGGGCAGGAGTGGTTACAGACTAAAAGACTTAAAAGATAATTAACCAGAGGTGCCTGGATGGCTCAGTTGGTTAAGCAGTCAACTCTTGGTCTTGGCTCAGGTCATGATCTCACAGTTCAGGAGTTCAAATTCCATGTCAGGCTCTGCACTAGTGGCACAGAGCCTGCTTGGGATTCTGTCTCTCCCTCTCTCTGCCCCTCCCCAGCTCACTCTCTCTCTCTAAATAAATTTTAAAAACTTAAAAAAAAAAAATTAACCAAATGCAATGTGTAGACTCTGTCTGGGCCCCAATCCAAATAAACCAACTTAAGACATTTTTGAGATGAAAGGGGAAACTTAGGCATGGACTGAGTATTAAACAATATTAAAATTTTATTATGAATTTTCTTAGACATCACAATGGAATTATCATTATGTTAAATTCAAAAAGTCTTTACCTATATTTAGGAGTCAAATGATGGTATGCTGAAATTTGCTTTAAAATACTCCAGACATTCTTCCCCACCTCCTGCCTCCACCACATAAAGCTGTGCGTGTGGAGCAGGGGGATAGATAAGAAAAAATTAGCAAAATATTAATAACTGTTGAAGCTGGGTGGTGAGTACTTGGGGATTTCATTGTACTAATTCCTACTTGTGTATGTTTGAAAATTTCCATAAACAGTTTTTAAAAGATAAAAAGAGATAAAGGAGCATTAAATCAGATATCAAGGTATTTGATGATTTAAGCCAATAGTCACTTCTCTGCAGAACTTTAATTCAACAAATGTTTAGTTCTTATGTATCAAGTTTTCAGAAGTACCCTTTTTAAAGAATATGAAGTTTAGCATGGGAGACACATGCAAATACAAAATCTCAATAGAATGTGGTAAGACATAATAACGAATTTATGAGGTACAAAAATAAAATGGGATGGAGTGATTCACTCTATAAGGGAGAGAGACGAGGGCAAAGTATTCTCAGAGGAGGTGGCAGAAACTGGATTCTGAAGGAAGAAAACAGATTTATCAGGAAGACAAAGGGGAGGAAAAGATATTTTCAGCAGAAGGAACACGTGCAAGGGCACGAGAAAATGATAAAATAATAATTATTATGGCCAGATGGATTCCAGTAAGAAGAGTATGAAAATTATTGAACATTCTAAGTACTAAAGTGTTACAAAGTTTTACACTAAGCATTTCATACCAAGGCTGAAGAAGAACTTAAGATTACACATGGATGCTTTTCCTGAGGGAAAGACATCAAATTGTTAACTGTGGTGATTTGAATGGTGGGACTAAAGACATCTTAATTTCTATTTATGTTTTTCTAAAGTTGTCAAGTTGTTTTTTTAAGTTTTTTTTTTTAAGGTTTTATTTTTAAGTAATCTCTGCACCCAACATGGGGCTTGGACTCACACACAACCCGGAGATCAAGAGTCGCATGATCTACTGAGTCAGCCAGGTGCCCCTAAGCTTGTCAAGTTTTAAGAAAAATGATTGTGAATTTGTAAAATAATTTTCCACTTTTACTCTCTTTATATAAAATACCTGATTCATATAGAACTTACATATCTCTAAGGATTCAAAGAACTTCAAATTTTTCTTTTAAATATTTTTATGTAAAACTTTCAAAAATCCATTTGCTAAAAGCATTTATTTTAATTCAAGGGATCTAATAAATGATGAGAATGTGCTAAGTATATAACTGATCCAGATGTCTTGCATATTATGAAGGAAACTCATGACAAAAGCATTAAACACACTGGAGTACCTGGGCAGCTCAGTTCATTAGGCATCTGACTCTTGGTCTCAGCTCAGGTCTTGATCTCACAGTCATGAGTTCAAGCCCCACACTGGGCTCTGTGCTGGGTGTGAAGCCTACTTAAAAATATATACGTATCTATGTGTCTGGTTGGGGTACAGCAACCAGATACATATATACATATATATTTTACACATTAATGTTTCTCAACCTTTTATCTAGTAAGCACAGTTTTAATTTTGATTAGTTTTGTCACTTAAACTCAGAACATTTTTCAACAAGATAAAAATGAAAACTAAGATTTGTGATGGGCTATATTAATTCCCATTTCTTTTAAAAGATGTTAGTTATTTCTGAAAATTAGAAAGGTGGTTTCACTGGGTAGATAAGAATTACCATAATTAAGACTTTTGAAAGGCTCTTCCAACCCATCTCCTTTGAAATTAAATGTGATTATTTTTATGTTCCACAAAGAAAGGTCCTATAAAATATTCCAATTGTCGATTCTTACTTAAAAACTACTAACCATGTTTTTGGTGCTGTGACATACTGAGGGGTGCCTGGGTGGCTCAGTCGGTTGAACATCCAACTCTTGGTTTCCACTCAGGTCATGATCTCACAGTCATAAGATCGAGCCCCACGTCTGGCTCTGCACTGGGCGTGAAGCCTAAGATTCTCCCTCTCCTTCTGCCCTCCCCCTCAAAAAATTATAAAAACAAAAACAATAACAACAACAAAACAAACAAACAAAAACACCTACCAACCATGTTGTTGATGCTGTGAAATACTGAAAGAAAATTCAATGATAATAAAAAAGCCCATTTATGCATGTATAAAATTCTGCCACTTTTCATGCATGTATAAAATTCACATGGAATTTAACATTTATAGTTATGTTATCTTGCTGTTTATGTAAAGGAAAAGCAAGAAAAGTTGTAATAAGACCTCATGTGAGTCAAGTGCAGCTTACATTGTTGGTGTCTCAACAACCTAAAGGAACAATTTTTGGTTCATTTGGAGGCTGAAAGCAATCTTCAAAGAGAATTGTTATTCATCTATGAACAACTCTGATTTCACCTCTATTTTCAGATGACTGTTTCTTATCTGTACAACCAGTAGGTACAAAGTGCAGAAAAATAGCTGTTAAAAATTTTCAAAGTTTTTGTAGAGAAGGTACATGGACTTGGTAGTTGCCAAATGACCCAACTACTTTATAGTCATGCACTTCACTTGAAATGTAAACATTAGCCCTAAAAATCAAGCAGCAACTCAAAGCACTATTTATCACCCTATTGTTCTTTTATTATTAATACTAAATTATCACAAGCACTTTCCATTATCAAAGTTAATATTTTAAAAATAAAAAACAACCAATTGGGGCACCTGGGTGGCTCAGCTGGTTTAGTGTCTGACTCTTGATTTCGGCTCAGGTCATGACCTCACGGTTGGTGGGTTCGAGCCCTCATCGGGCTCTGCACTGACAGTGCTGAGCCTGCTTGGTTGGGATTTTCTATCTCCTTTCTCTCTCTGTCCCTCCCCCACTCGCTTGCGGGCACTCTCTCTCAAATAATAAAAAAAAGAAGAATCACTCAAATCTCTGTATTAATATTGCCACTACTAGCATTCTTTCAATTCACTTTTAAGTATAATTTGTCATTTTTATTTCATTCAACATATCATAAGCATTTCCCCATATTAATACTGTCTTTGTAGCCATCATTTAAATGGCTGAGTAAGAAGATTTCATTGGCTTGGCCATAATTACTTAATTATATCTCTATTTCAGATGGTTAAGTGTTTTATTTTTTTCTTTTTTTCCCATGTTTTTATTTAAATTCCAATTAGTTAACATACAGTGTATTAGTTTCAGATGTAGGATTTAGTGATTTATCACAACACGTGCCATCCTTAATCCCCATCACCCATTTAATCCATCCTCCACCCCTGCCTGAGCCCCCATCCTTCCAGTAACCTAGATGGTTAGGTGTTTTAAACCATTATGAAGTACGTTATAGTGATAATTTTTATGTATATTCCCCCCTATATTTTGGATTTCTTTTCCTTAGACTAAATTCTTAAAATATTAAATACTTAACAATTCTAAAGCTCAACATATACATCCAAACTGCTTTTCAAAATGGACTAACAGTACCCCTACGCAGTAAGAGTAGTACTCCTACACAGTAGGAGAGTACCACTGCGTCTTTACCAGTGGGTACAGTTTTACACCAGGCTTTGCAGAACATGTAAACTTTGGTTCATATATTGAAATAAGACTGTACCTAAGTAAGATACTAATTAGCACTGTTTAACTCTCAACCACTAGGTGGAGCTATAAAAATACAAATATATTATAATAGTACCTATATTTCTCTCACAACACTATTTCTACAATACTATAGAAGTTTTCCTTTTAGTGATAATTTTGAAGCATAAGAGACAGAACTTTACAGTGAATTTTAAATATTCAAATTGGAATCATATTTATGAAATCTGTACATAGTACAAACTAGATTTTTCTTTTTTCTTTTGAAGTTTATTTATTTGAGAGAGAAAGAAAGCACAAGCAGGGAGGGGCAGAGAGAGGTGAGAGAGAGAATCCAGAACAGAGCTTGATGTGGGGCTCAAACCCACAAACTGTGAGATCATGACCGGAGCAAAAATCCAGAGTTAGACACTTAACGAACAGAGCCACCTGCTTATCCCAAACTAGAGTCTTCTCAAATTTTATATGTGTTCTATGTTTCTCATCTTGAGTGAGAAACATAACTGAGATAATTTATAGAAGCAAATACCTCTCAAAGAAGCCAGCAATAAAGACAGCTGTCCCAGGGAAATAGTAACATCTTAGTGGATTTTTTGAGACTATTATTTTTTAATATAAGAAGGCATTGTATTTTTATCCAGAAACAATGACAACTTTCATTAGGCAAGACCATTAGAAAAGTATTCACTTACAATGGACCTAAGACTATACCAGCTGTTGGGAGCTTATGGCCCAGGAATTCTTGAACATAGCTCTGAATCCTAGATACAACTGATATTTTACTACAGTTGCCCCTTAAACAACACAAGTTTGGATGACATGGATCCTCTTACATGTGGGTTTTTTTCAGTAAATATAGTACAGTACTGTAAATGTATTTTCTCAATAATATATTTTTTTTCTCGGGGCACCTGGGTGGCTCTCAGGTGGTTGAGCTTCCAACTTTGGCTCAGGTCATGATCTCACTGGTTCATGAGTTCAAGCCCACCTCGGGCTTGCTGCTGTCAGCACAGAGCCCATTTCGGATCCATTGTCTCCTCTCTCTCTGCCCTTCCCCCATTTGCGCTATCTCAAAAATAAACATTAAAAAAATATATATTTTATTTTCTCTAGCTTACTTTACTGTAAGAATACAGTATACAATACATATAACATACAAAATATGTGTTAATCGACTATGTTATCGGTAAAGCTTCCGGTCAATTTTATAATGTGTAAGAAAAGTTATACATAAATTTTCAACTGCATGGGTTGTCACAACCCCTAACCCCTGCGTTAAGGGTTAACTATACTTCTAAAAACAAATACTTTTCCTCTCAAAATTCTGCCCATCACCCTTACCCTAAAACATACATAATACTCACACACAGCTCTACTACCTTAAAGGATGAAATGAATTTGGAGATTATAGTTCTGTTCTTTAATATATCTGACAAAGAATAAGTAAAAAATAAGTAAGTGAAGATACATCTAGAAGTAACATTTTCACCCTGATTTTTCACCTGTGTGGAACTGGTTTTACCTCCTGCCCTCTAATAATCTTCCACCAATCTGTACAGTTACAGGCCCAAGATGTACAAGTATATATTCCTGATGCTTCATTCCTGCTTCTCCCAGGCAATTACTAATGTTCTGTTTCTTCACTATCCAAGTTTTTCTCCAATCTCCCTTTTCACCCCCAATCTCCTTAACGAGAGAAGGTACACAAAAGAAGTGAGGAACACGGAGCCAGAACTACTCTCTCCCAATTCAACTGTCTTCACAGAACCCCATATTCCTTTTTCTAGCAATTACTACTTAATTATATTTCCTTGATGTTTAGAACTCAATAATTATAAGGTTAATTATTGGATCAATAATTTTATTTATTTTTAATTTTTAAGTGTTTACTTTTTAAGAGAGAGAGACAGAAAACCACGGAGGGGCAGAGAGACAGAAATCCCAAGCAGGCTCCACGCTTTCAGAGCAGAGTCCAATGCAGGGCTCGACTCCAAACCCTGAGATCATGATCTTAGCCAAAACCGAGAGTCAGACACTTAACCAACTGAGCCATCCAAGCACCCAAATCAATAATTTTAGTTGTTTTTTTTTTAAAAAAAAATTTTTTTTTTCAACGTTTATTTATTTTTGGGACAGAGAGAGACAGAGCATGAACGGGGGAGGGGCAGAGAGAGAGAGACACAGAATCAGAAGCAGGCTCCAGGCTCTGAGCCAACAGCCCAGAGCCTGACGCGGGGCTCGAACTCACGGACCGCGAGATCGTGACCTGGCTGAAGTCGGACGCTTAACCGACTGCGCCACCCAGGCGCCCCCCAAATCAATAATTTTAAAGAAAAAGCAAAACGCTACCAAAACTAGAATTAAGGAAATATGGTATTATGAAAACAATCCAATGCCACCTCTGTCAATATGAAAAATATGTATAAAATGCTTTTGCTAAAAGCAAACACTAGCACAATTACCTTCCTCATATTACTCATACCTTTTGTTCTAAGAGTGCCCTGCGGAGGGAGACCCTCTGTTCAAGCTCTCGAAGCTCCCGATCATGTTGTGCCTCGGCTTGCATCTTGATTTTGCTCTGATATGCATTCAATAGCTCCAGTTCCTGCTGCAGCTGCATCTTTAAAACCTGGCATTCTGCTTCCTGTGCTTCATCCAAACGTAGCTGAAAGAGAGAAGGAAAACAAATATATCCAACTGTGAGCTCTCTATTCCTGACCTATGGAAAAGAGGAGGTGTGAAAGAAGACAGACTACTCTTTTGTAGGATATACAATTGTTCTCTCTCATGTCGTGGAATGAACATCTCTGAAAAAGGAAGGTCTAGTAACCTTTATCTTTAGGAAGGTAAAGCTATCATCAGCTCTTTGGAAGATGGCTAAATAACCATATTTTTCTTAAGAAAAATCTAGAATCTGATCAGGTAATATGTATGACTCTGAATGTTTTCTCTCCAATGAAAATAACTACAGCATAGGGACCAGCAAACAGCTTACTGGCCAAATCTGGGCAGCAGCTGGGTTTTTTTGCTTTCATTTTTTTATATACTCCACTAGTTAAGAATGGTTTTTACATTTGAAGTAGTTACATTTTAAATAGCTATATAAGTATCCACATAATATCCTCAATTTTGCTTCCTGGCCTACAGACTCTAAAATACCAAAAAAACATGTTTATAAAACTTATATAGAAAATATTTTACATTTCTATTCAAATGTTACCATTTGGATTCCAAATATAGTACTACTTTTTGCCCACTACCTAACAAAGCTGCTGTTCCAATCTTGATATGCTTTTTGGATAAGCTTCAACAGGCATGTGCTAAGAGGCACTGGCAGAGAGCTTGTTTAAAACTTAGTGTCTAGGGGCACCTGGGTTGCTCAGTCAATAGAGCATTCAACTCTTGACTTCGGCTCAGGTCATGAACTCACGGGTTGTGAGTTTGAGCCCCAAATCAGCATCTGTGCCCATAGCGCAGAGCCTGCTTGGGATTCTCTGTCTCTCTCTCTCTCTCTCTCTCTGCTCCTTCCCCACTCATGCTTGTGCTTTCTCTCTCTCAAAATAAATAATAAACTTAAAAAACAAAACAAAAAAATTTTATTTCTGGGGCACCTGGGTGGCTCAGCTGGTTAAGCCTCTGACTCTTGATTTCAGCTCAGGTTATGATCTCACACTTCCTTAGTTCCAGCTCTGAGGGGGGTGGATCTGCTGACATCTCAGAGCCTGCTTGGGATTCTCTCTCTGCCCCTCCCCAACTTGCACGTGTGCATGCGTGCGTGTGTGTGTGCGTGTGTGTGTGTGTGTGTGTGTGTGTCTGCGTGCGCATGCGCATATGTACTCTCTGACTCTCTCAAAATAAAATTTAAAAAAAGAGAAACTTCTCTGGGAAGACTTTAATTAAAAAAATTTTTTTAAAAATGTTTATCTATTTTTGAGAGAGACAGATAGACAGACTATGAGCTGGGGAGGGGCAGAGAGAATCTGAAGCAGGCTCCAGGCTCTGAGCTGTCAGCACAGAGCCTGATGCGGGGCCTAAACTGATGAACCGTGAGACCATGACCTGAGTTGAAGTCAGATGCCCAACTGACTGAGCCACCCAGGCGCCCCCTTAATGTTTGTTTATTTTTGAGAGAGACACACACAGGGCATGAATAGGGGAGAAGCAGAGAGATAGGAAGACAAAGGATCTGAAACAGGCTCCAGGCTCTGAGCTGTCAGCACAGAGCCGAAGCAGGGCTTGAACTCAGGTCAGCACAGAGCCTGATGCGGGGCTTGAACTCAGGAACAGGAATGGTAAGATCATGACCCAGGCCGAAGTCAGACACTTAACTGACTGAGCCACCCAGGCACCCCTCCCTGGAAAGATTTTAAAAATAAATAAATAAAACTTCATGTCTGAATGTATCAATAAGAATTCTGCACACTTCATGCATACTTCCAAGCAATGCTCAGAGAAGGAAGAATATGGACCATCACCATTATTTCCCAAGCTGCAGGAGAAGTATCATTTCTAACTAGTATTTTAATTGCTGGGATTTCATTGCTGGTAGAAAGAAAGGAGCACTAAATTTATTTTGTCTAAATAAAACAAACTCACAGCTTGTGTGGAGAGCATTTCATTAATGCTGTGGTCATACTGCTCAGCCAAGATGGCTAACTTCCGGGTCTGCTCCTCCTTGAGCCGTTTCAGAACAGCTTTGTGCTCGCTCTTTGGTGTAGTCTCCAGTAGGTGATTTCTTAATGCTTTGTACTGTCTGGTTTGGATTTTACAGGTATCCTGAAACTGCTTTTTTATTTGGAGTTCTTTAGACTGGGAAGAAAAAAATAGATGCATATATTTTTAACATTTGGCATTTGGTATACCTTAGGTTTTCATTAAAAGAAAGGCTACTAGGAGAAAGGGAGAAAACAAAAAGGTCAGATCGTAACGTTGCAGGTACTTTTACACTTGGCTATTGGGTCAAACCACTGGATTCTATGCATTTTTATAACAAAAGCTCTAATTTAAAACATTAAAATATCAAGAACCTCATTTATCACAGGACTTCAAGCAATAGTCATAATTTTGTTAGTAAATTTAGTGATGAGCAGGTATTAAAATTAGCTTTGATTATGGTATATATTAATGACAGAAAATCAAATTTCTTCTCATTGATTACATGTAGCAAAGTATTTTATTGGCCAGACAATATTTTATCAAATCTCTGAGGCAGAAAATAAGCATATTTACTCTCTTCCATATCTGAAACACTTTGCTTCAATTTCTTTTAATAACAACCTCAACTCTAACTACATAGTGTATGACAGATTCCACAAAAGCAGGGTATTAGTAACAGACTAATATTGCTTCATACGATTCTTTTCCTTAAGGAAATAAACTAGGTAGAAACATCCTTAGCAAAAACTTGAAAGTCAGTCAAGTTAACTAACCTTTTAAAGGTCAAACAAAAGTTATGGGATGAGGTGTTGGGGGGGGGGGGACTGGGCCAAATGGGTGATGGGCATTAAGGAAAGCGCTTGTTGGGATGAGCACTAGGTGTTATATGTAAGCGACGAATCACTAAATTCTACTCCTGAAGTCATTATTATGCTATATGTTAACTAATTTGGATTTAAATAAAATTTTAAAATTTTAAAAATAATTAAAAAAAATAAAGTCATGGGGCAAGGGAGAGGACATCCTTTCTTGGAGTGGTAAGAGCCATGAGCTACATAAATATTTCTGAGATAAAATAATTGAGCTCCGAAACAGAGAGTTTTGGCTTTAGTTTTTGCTAATCACTGAACTCAGGTTTTAATAAGATTTAACAAGATGAGATATAATTCTGTAAAGTATACTGAGTAAGCCTGTAAATGAGAATATATTCATTTACTACACTAAGGCAGAAACTACACTTGAAATTATTTTACCTAAATATAAATACTGCTAGATATTGATTGGTTGATTCAGTGTGCAACAAATGCACGTATTACACCAAAGTAAAACACTTGTCAAGGAACTATTCACCACCCCTTGTAATACTACAACCTCAAACAGCCCTTTTCCATACTTCACACCAACTGAGGCACTATGTCATAGTCATATACTTTATTCTGTGAAGGGTCAAGAATTGTCTAGCTAGAAAGCAAAACTCTTGCTTAGTAGAGACCAAGCAAAACTCTATGCTTGGTAGTACCACACTTAAATGCTGTCGTTGGTTAACAAAATTCTTCCAACTTAGCTAGGAATCAAACAATACAATTTAGGCATTCTCTCCTGCCTCTGTATAACATTCGTTCTTTTAAAAGTTTTTATTTTTAAAATATTATATCAAGAAAATTATCATTCTATATTAGCCTAATAAGAAAAAATAACTTGAAAATTTTTTCACATGAATAATACTAATACTTATAACCAAGAATAAACTGCATCCCTCAATACTAAACTCAAATGAAAACTAGAACATAGTTACTTACAGTTGTTTCTAATCATTTAACACTATCATCTGGATGACAGATGAAGAAACAGCCGAGTAGGCAATTAAGTGTTTACCCAATCCATTTTACAGAAATGGTACCCCAACTCCAGCTTACGTAAGTACTCAAACTAAAGTCCCCCTAGTCCCCATTAAAGTCTTGAAGAAAGCTGAAAGAGACAACTGTTACGATTTAGTCAAATAAAACTGGAATGACTTAGTGTTAAAATCTAGTCTGATTTGTTCAAATTGAGCAAGTAGATAGATATATATAACTAAGAAAGTATCGTGATTTTCTTCCCTACTAATGTAACAGAATGATTTCCTTTATGGAAAATCTTGAGCTCACTGGTCATTAAAGGAATCATTCTAGGGATGCCTGGATGGCTCAGTCAGTTAAGTGTCCAACTCTGGATTTCGACTCCGGTCATGATCTCTCGGTTATGAGACTGAGCCCCACATCGGGCTCTGCGCTGAGTGTGGAGCCTGCTCGGGATTCTCTCTTTCCCTCTCTCTCTCTGCCCCTCCCCTGCTTGCACACAAGTTTGTTAACTCTAAAAAAATAAAGAAAAGGAGGCTTTCTATTCAAAGTCCATGACTATGAAATACTACTTTTTCCTCACTTTTTGTACAGTATCTGTAAAAATCAAATCTAGTGTTTATAAGCTTTCAAACTGAAAAGGCTCCAACAAGAGGAAACAGAAAGGAAGGGTTAAATATCAAACAACTACCTATTCCAAGTCTCAATGAAATGCAGTCATAACAGATTTATAGTATGACTATAGAAAACTCACAAGCTTTCAGTTTGGTTTACTTTTGGGTACTGCTGACTTTAAAATGATAACTGGGGTGCCTGCCTGGGTGGCTCAGTCGGTTGGGTGTCCGACTTTGGCTCCGGTCATAATCTCGTGGTTCATGAGTTCTAGCCCCACGCATCGCAGAGCCTGGAGCCTGTTTTGCATTCTGTGTCTCCCTGTCTCTCTCTGCCCCTCCTTTGCTTGTCTCTGTCTCTCTCTCTCAAAAAAAAATAAACATTTAAAAATAAATAAATAAAATGGTAACTAATCTTACAGACATGTTTTAAAAATCTTTTGGTGGGAAATTGTTCTGAAGACAAAGGTCTTCATTACAAAGACAAAACAAAGCTGAAAAATCATTATGAATTCCAGTTTTTCTAAGCAATGACTAATGAAGGTTATATGGGTAGTCAACACAAGTTACTCTTTAATTGATGTTAGTTATTTTGAAGACATAGCAAAGTGAAATTTTATCCTTCACAAGGAAAGGGTAAAACACTTTAATTCTGCTTCTATATCTCATTCAAGACAGCCTATTAGAATGGAGTTGGGTGGGAATCAGAGTTATGATTGGGTATAGATTTTAACATAGATTACCTCTGTGAATGAACTGCACTTCACTCCAGGACAGTTACTCAGGTAAGACAAAGAACAGTTCTATAGTTAAATTATCAAATAAAAGGGGTCAGGGTAAAGTTTAAAAAGGAAATACTGTGGGTTGTAGGCCTTAATGGATGTAAATAGGTACTACTATAGACAACAGCTTATGTAGTAGATGGTTTTGTTTTTGCTCATTAAGATTAATGTGATTGATTATATTTCTTCAAGTATTTATTACAAGTTACAAAATTTGAAAACATCCTAGAATTGTTAACTCTGGTTGATTCAGGGCTAGATCAGCTGGCTGGAGAGGCAGAGAGGGGGAAATCTTTATAATATACTTTGGTATATTTTGAATTTCATATTATATGAATGAGTTCCTGTATTCAAAATAAATACAAAATTTAAAGTCCTTTGTATTATATATCACCAACACTTGTTTTTCCTTATTTTGGAGAGGGAGGCATATAACAATTTGCTTTACCCTGATGTGCCAATTAAAAAAAATATTATACCTCCAACTACCTATGCCATAGTTTTTACCTACACTACCAAGCAAAGAAAGCAAGCAAGCAGACTGGGGGTAACACTGTGATGATTCCCTTGTTCCTCTTACAGTAAGTATAGATAATGAAGGGAGAGGGGATAAAAAAGCAGTTTTCATTCATTGCTTTTGTGCTGATTAAGAACTTAGTGCCTTTTCTGGAAACAAATCATATTTAGAGGAAATAAGATTCCAAAACTGTATTACTTGGGACAACAGTGAGAAGACAACAGGTTACCATGTTGACATGTAGACTGTAATATCAGCATTGCACATTTTGCGTACATTTAAAATAAGAATTTTGGGGGCGCCTGGGTGGCGCAGTCGGTTAAGCGTCCGACTTCAGCCAGGTCCCGATCTCGCGCTCCGTGAGTTCGAGCCCCGCGTCAGGCTCTGGGCTGATGGCTCAGAGCCTGGAGCCTGTTTCCGATTCTGTGTCTCCCTCTCTCTCTGCCCCTCCCCCGTTCATGCTCTGTCTCTCTCTGTCCCCAAAATAAATAAACGTTGAAAAAAAAAAATTAAAAAAAAAAAAAATAAAAAAATAAAATAAGAATTTTGATTCATGTTTATGGTACTTCCCACAGTCAAAAGTTTTGGTACGCTGCTGAAAAATACATAAGCAAAAAGTCTACAGCTATGGACACTCCACATTAAAACTAACCAAACATTCTTAAAATGAAAAAAGTTTATTCAAATTCTTTATGCCAGACCTCTTAGACTTCTACGGTTTACATGGATGCATTTTATCTCTTTTCCCCCTTTATCAAGAAGCTTAGGTTAAAGGGGTACCTTCAGACTCTTAGGCTGTTGTCGAACCTCCATGACATGCTTTCGCCTTAGTTCTCGTTCTCTTCGCTTGTTATATTCCAGCTGGTTTGTAAGCTCAGTCTGATGCTGCAATCTGATCAACTCACAGCGCATCTTCTGAATTGTGTTGAGGTGACGGAACTCCAGTTCTTGCATGGATTCATGTTGTCTCAGTAGCATGGCATGCTCTAAGTCCTTTTGAGTCTGCCTTTTATTTAACTCCTAATCCACAACACAAAAAGCAAAAGTATAATTTACTGCTGTATGATGCCTGGAAAAAATAATCCTAAGAAACAGAATAACCAAGAAATAGATGTAATCCTCTGATGTAATAATGGCTGCATCGTATTAGAGTTTTATAATATTTGCTGTAGTAAATAAACAATTAGCACATTTCCTTACACTGTTCATTTACTATTCATTAACACTACTTCATGCAGTGAGTTTAAAAGGTACCAAATCTATCTCAAGAGGTTTAATGTCCTCCCCTCTTTCCTTTCTTTATTGTTTTCTAGTTTTATATTTGAAGAGGGTTCACAAGTCATCCAGTGTATTTTTTCAGAGTATGCTATTCAAGTCTATTACATGCAGTATACCCAATGTAGTGTAGTGGTTAAAAACATGGACTGTAGAGCTAGGCTGCCTGTATTTTAAATCATAGCTCTGCTACTGATGAGCAGTAAGTCTTTGGGTTAGTTATTTAAACTCTTGGCTTCAGCTTCATCACTTCTCAAACGAAGATAATATAGCAATTTCGTAGATTTAATGCGAGGATGAAACAAGTTCATAAATGCGAAGTCCTCAGAATAATACCTAGCACATCATGCTCAATAAATTTTTTTCAGAATAAAAGGAACAAGTGTATCACATACAACAGACACACCCACACCCACACACACTGTAGAAGTGTAGAAGTGAAACTTGCCTCCTTTGCCCTTTCTCCAGAAGCCAACAGTTTGGTGCAAATGTTTCCGAAATATCCCCCCATGCTTATCATGACACATCTGTTATACAAAACCTACAGTTTTAAAACTGAATACCAATATACATTATAGGCCTGTACTGTGCTTTCTTCACCTAAAAATATAATGGACATACATCTTCACCAGATCAGATCAGTACATAAAGATCTTTTTTTTTTTTAAGTTTCAATGGTAAGGGGTGCCTGGGTGGCTCAGTTGGTTAAGCATCCAACTTCGGCTCAGGTCATGATCTCATGGCTCATGAGTTAGAGCCCCGCCATCAGGCTCTGTGCTGACAGCTCAGAGCCTGGAGCCTGCTTCAGATTCTGTGTCTCCCTCTCTCTCTGCCCCTCCCCCACTCACGTTCTGTCTCTCTCTCAAAAATAAATAAACATTAAAAAAATTTTTTTTTAAGTTTCAAAAGTAAGCTACTGCTTTGCAATTCCTAATTTTTCCATTTTTCTGCTTTAAACAAATTTTCAATAAATATCCATGGCATGATAGATACATCATATAACCATGTTACTGTTTCTTTAAAAAAAAAAAGTTTTTTAACGTTTATTTATTATTGAGAGACAGAGAGAGAGGCAGAGCATGAGCAGTGGAGGAGCAGGGAGAGAGGAAGACACAGAATTTGAAGCAGGTTCCAGGCTCCTGCTGCCAGCACAGAGCCCGATGTGGGGCTCGAACTCGCAAACCACGAGATCATGACCTGAGCCGAAGTCAGACGCTTAACCGACTGAGCCACCCAGGCGCCCAATGTTATTATTTCTTTAGGATACAGTCCCAGAAGTAGATTTGGTAAAAATATAGATGCATATTAAATTTTAAAACCTATTGCTGAATTATACTCCAAAAGGGCAGTATCAGTTTATACTTTATACTTACCAATACTGTCCATTTCCCCATGTTACCAGTCTTTTTAATTGTTCTTATCTAATTGATGCAACTGTTTTAATTTCAATTTCTTTAATTATTACTGAATTTGAACAGTTATGCTATACTTGAAGCTTATTTTAAGCCATCTTGGAAATAAATTTATCTATGTTCACAGTTATCCCTGATAAGAAAAAAAATTGTTTTCATTTTGATAAGAGTTTCTACACTTGACCAGTTAATAAATGTATGATTATAACAATGTGCTAAGTGGTAACACACAATTCATGGCACTCATTTCAGATCAAAAGGCATAAATCATCCAATTAACGTTCTCATATTTAAAAATTAATACTTCATTCATGGATAAATAATAAATATTATTTATTTAATAAATATTTATTGAATGCCTACTATGGGCCAGACACTAGGGATACAAAGACCTGTACAAAACCTATGACTTCACATAATTTCCATTCTAGCTGGGAAGAGAGACTTCCCCCAAAAAGTGTATGTGTAAGAGAAAAAAGTACAAAGAAGAACATTTAAAGAAGGGAGAGGAGAGAGAGCTAGCTATATAGATTGGGTATCTGGGGAAGAAGGATTTAGGCAGAGAGGATTAATGAGTGTAAAGGCCTTATAACTGAGATGTGATGGGACTTATTTCTGATTTCATATCATTCAAACATACCTCCCTGACAAGGTCCTGCTCCAAGTTATGGCGTCCAAGTAACATTCTTCGCTTGAAGCGACGGCACTCCAGCTCTAGGTATTGCCTCTGTCGTCGAAGAAGATTAGCCTCTTCCTCTGCTTGGAAATGTTGTATATTCTCCTTCTGCTTTGAAAGCCATTCTTGTTTTTCCTTTTTTGGGGTGCTCTGGTTTTCATTCAGTTCCTGGCAACAAAAAAACAACTCAGTTCAAAATACATAAAAATTGGGGTAGCTGGGTAGCTCAGTCAGTTGAGCATCCGACTTCGGCTCAGGTCATGATCTAGTGGTTTGTGAGTTTGAGGCCCCACATTGGGCTTGCTGCTGTCAGCCTGTGAGCAGAACCCATTTTGGATCCTGTCCTCCTCTCTCTCTGCCCCTCCCTCACATGCACTCTCCCAAAAATAAACAAATATTAAAAAGAAAGAAAGAAAGAAAGAAAGAAAGAAAGAAAGAAAGAGAAAAAAACATAAAAATTAACTACATGAAAGTAGTTAATGTAATATTTGGTAGCTGGTAAATTTAAATAAAAGTACTGAATCTGTGTTCTCTCTAATGCTCAAACAGGGCAATGACCTTAAGGAGTTAGGTAAATAGTTTCCTTTTTCTTGAGTTACCGGTGAATTAGGACAGGAAAAGAGAAAAATACATTAGAAAACATGCATACCTTTTGGTTTTGCATAACTACAAGTATGATGACTCAAAAGTACATAATAATTGGTAAATGAAGTAAAACATATCTTTCTTTAAATCCATCCCAAGAATAGACAGAAGGTGGTGCTTTCAGGGGAAAATCAAATGTAAATTAAAGTTAGGGCTACAATACAGTTATGTCTCAGTTGGTTTTTGACATTCTAAATATCAAGCTTTTGGCAAGATTACGGATGCACTCAATATAAAAGACTTGGAAATTAAATGGAAAACCAACAAAACCAGGGGAGAACAGAGACATTCTTTATGAGTGGTATTTAATATTTGGCATTATAATACCACTAAACAAATAAAAACCAAGGCTTTTCTACAGCACTGTATTTATTTTTAAAATTTATTTATTTTTGAGAGACAAAAAGAACACACTTGTGCACGTGAGGGAGTGGGGCAGAGAGAAAGAGGGAGAGAAAGGGAGAATCCCAGGCTGGCTTCGCACTGTCAGTACAGAGCCTGATGCAGGGCTTGAACTCATGAACAGTGAGATCATGACCTGAGCTGAAATCAAGAGTCAGAACACTTAACCGACTGAGCCACCCAAGTGTCCCTCTATAGCATTTTAAATATCATCTTAGAAACTATCTAAATGAAATTGCATTTATATTGGGCAAGATGAGAACATTCATGATACACTCAATGAGACAAACCCTAGGATGTTAATACTAGCATATTTTCAACCTAAAAAAACATCAATATTGCAGAGAATACAAATCAGCCATCATTCCTAAGTGTAAGTTGATTTTTCAGAGACTACTAACCTTATGGTCCTTCCCCTGTTATTCAAGAAAGAGACCAATTCTTTCTAACTTTAGTTCACAAGATATTCAAACACATAAAAACAAACACATAAATTAGTAGTTCTCCAAAGAGGACATATATACACACACAGTATAGAAAGAGACAAGGAGAACACGGGCCACATTATACCCAAGGGTGTCTTTCTCAAAATCTTCTGCCAGGAAACTTCCCCACCAAAACTCTAGTATGTCCCTTCCTCTACACTGAGAATCACTATTCCAAATGAACACACACACACACACACACACACACACACACACACACACAGGCATACATACACAAGTTATACACCTAAAAGATTATTTAAACTAATATATCCATTAACATTCAACTCTTACTGCACTGGGAAACTGCATGCTGTTGGATATTTATTTACAATTGGGAATCCTATTTATAATCTTTTCAAACCCAATGTTCTAGTATAGAGTTTGACTCCTGTTATACAGAAAGAAATGTGCGGCTTTTTGTTTCACAGCTCATATATTTTTATTTCTAATCATTCAGTTACTTAATAAGTGCTTACAAAAGCTATTATAAATAAAATAACTTCTGTTGGCAGGAGACGATTCTTTTTAGACCCTACTCAACTGAGAATCTCAATCCACTGAAGAGTAATTGATTATAATCAATGTCTTCATTCAAACTGATAAACATTTTATGATGACAAAAAACAAACAAAAATTTTATCTTAGTGGCTCTATGAGTTGATCAACATCACATACAATCAGTAAGCAGACAACTGGCTTGAAAAAGTTTATAAAATAAGTACCTCCTTAAGCTGTTCCTTTCGAAGTTTATATTCTCTTTTCTGGGACTCCAAAAAACTATTTAGTTCTTTCTTCTGTTGAGCCTGAATATGTTGCTGAAATTTTTTCTCCTCATTGGCCATCACTTTAGCCTATAGAAATTTAGAAAATGGATCGAATTAGTTAAGTTGATACATTCAAAGCAACAGTTTAAGAAGACATTACCAAGGAGGTAATTTTCAACCAAAAATAGAAAATCAACATTGCTTCTCGGCCTTTTGGCTAAGATCAAGTGATCAGCATTAAGTATTACCAAAATGAGAATACCCAACAAATTAATTTTTTAAAGTTTACTTATTTGAGAGAGAGAGAGAGAGAGAGAGATTGAGAGAGAAAGAGAGAGAGAAAATGCACACAAACGAAGAAGGGGCAAGAGAAAGAGGAGAAATCCCAAGCAGACTCTATGCTCAGCACAGAGCCCCAAATGGGGTTTAATTTCACTAACCATGAGATCATGACCTGAGCCGAAATTAAGAGTCAGACACTTAACTGAGTGAGCCACCCAGGCATCCTCCCCACCAAATTATTCATAATTGTTACTCAGCATCCATATTTGAATTTCAGAGAACCAATAAAATGGAACCTGTCTTTAACATGATCTTTGGGGCGCCTGTATGGCTCAGTTGGTTGAGCATCCAACTTTTTGATTTTGGCTCAGGTCATGATCCCAGGGTCATGGGATGGAGCTCCATGGCAGGCTCTGTGCTGAGCATGGAGCCTACTTAAGATTCTCTCTCTCTCTCTGTCTCTCCCCCCCACCTCCCCTCTCCCCTGCTCACATGCTTTCTCTAAAAATAAAATAAAAAATAAATAAAATGTTGATTAATGTTTATACCTTTTCCCCCCATTTAACAGGAGTGTGTTCTCCCCCCAGTAAAACAAAACACACATTTATATATCACTTATCTACAAATGTGTGACTTTGTGTGACCAAAAATCATGACTTCTTATGTTGGTTGACTTCTTCAAGTTAAACCCTGACCTTTTATTTATATATTAAATAATATGAAAATATTAAATATCAGATATATGCATCATATTGTTATCTTTCTTTTTTTTAAAGATTTTATTTGTAAGTGATCTCTACACCCAACATGGGGTTCAAACTTACAACTTATAACAAGAGTTGCACGCTCTAATGACTGATATGCACACCTTATTTCTGATTATATATGCAACGCATAAACATTGTAGAACATTTATGAAGTACAGAAAAACACAAAGAAGGAAAATCTTCCATGATTTTAGCACCCAGAGATAACCAATATAAACATTTTGGTACATATTCCTAACTTTTTCTAAGCATATATATTTTTAAAACAAATTTGTAATCATATTCTACATCCTGTTTCATGAATTGCTTTCCTAAGTATGTTAGAATCTACTTCTTCCTAAGTTATTGAAAATACTACCCAGCGCCCAATAGGATAGTTTTCTTTCACCAAATTATTTCAAAATCAAATATTTACTTTGATAAATATTTATTAATATGTAAATTAATAAATTTATATTATAAGCCACTACGATAAAGAGATAGTGGTTCTTTTTGGGGGAGAAGAAGGGTGAATAGGGTAGCTATGATAAATAATGCCTCAATGTGGACTAGTCAGACATATCTGAAGGTATTCTGTGAATTTACTGAGAAGCTTACATTGTACTTGACAAATTTGACTATCAAAATAAAATGAAACTGATGGGACAACAAAAACCTTTAGAAGAAAAGGTTTCACAAAACATTAATACTAAAAAATGTACTTTTATCATATAGTAGAATGACATTTATTTGTAAATAAACAAATGGGCTAAACCTTAATCTGAATCTCTTAATCTTTAATTATTGTCTGATATAAAAATGCTGGTCTAAATTTAAGGAAGATTTCCAAAAAATACACAAGGAAGAGAATCATGAATGATTTTTTTTGAGACCTGAGCCACCTTATTGATAGGTGATTTATCAAACTCTTCAGATAACCAGAGTACCTGAGGGCCAGAAAGGTTGAATGATTTACCCACCGTGACACTATAAACCTATCAAGTATCAGGAAACAATCCCATGTCTACTGGTTCCCAGACACAGTACTTCATACTATACATGTTATATAAATATCCCTCCCTTTCTCCAATTGATTTGTTTGGTTCTGAGGAAAAGATACTCTAATATCAAAATGTTATCTTGGTTAATTCTGGGATGGTCACAAATTAATAATACTGAATCAATCACCTCTTTTTCCATAGCAGCCTGATGTTTTTTGATAAGTTTCTCCATCTCTGCAGCAAAATTGTTACGCTGAGTTTCAAGATCTTTGTCTAATCTGAGGCGATGTTCATCCATCTCAGCCTTTAGCTTATTTTCCAGAGTCATCAGTTGCTTTTGATGTTGCCGCCTCATTCTCTTATAGCCAGACATCTGTTCTCTAAGCTCAGAGTCCTGCTCATGTTCTTGCATTTGCCTTGTAACCTAGACATACAAACAATAGAGAAAAAAGAATAAAATAAAGCAACACATTTCTTTCAAAAGCATTTTAAGACCACTCTGCTGTTAACTAAGCAGGCAATTAATGTAAAAGATCCCATTTAGCCAAAACAATCTTGAGGAGCATACAAAAATTGGAAGACATACACTTCAGCAACCAAAACAGTGTGGTACTGGTATAAGGACAGGCTGAATAGACCAAAGGAACAGAATAAAATCCAGAAACAGAGCCACACATAGTTAATTGGATTTTCTACCAAGGAGTCAAGTTAATTAAAAAAGGAAAGTGTTTTTTAACAAATCCTGCTGAGGGGCACCTGGGAGGCTCAGTCAGTTAAGCTTCAGACTCTTGATTTCGGCTTAAGTCATGATCTCACGGTTCAGTTTGGGAGATCGATCCCCGAGTTAGACTCCGTGCTGGGCACAGAGCCGGCTTAGGATTCTCACTCTCTCTGCCCCTCCCTAGCTCACACTCTCTAAAAAAAAAAAATCCTGCTGAAACAACTGGTTATTTGTATAAAAAATAAAGAAATAAACCTTGGCTCATATATCATTCCATATACAAAAATTACTTTGAAAAGAATCATGTGACCTAAACATAAAACTCAGAATCATAAAGCAAAAGAAAACATGGGACTACCATCATTACTTGGGTAAACAAATATTTCCTGGACAGGATACAAAAGGTACTGATTATAAAGAAAAAAATGTATAAATTGGATTTTTAAATTGAGCTAAAAATTCACATAGCATAAAATTAATCATTTTTAAAAATTTTCTTTATTTGTAAGTAATCTCTATACCCAGTGTGGGTGATGGCATTCTTGACCCCACATGTCATACAGATTCATGGGCCACTGCATGGGATTTATAAAGTCTGCTTATGTAGCTGATAACTCAGATAACTTTTTTACTCAGATACATCTTTTTTTACTTCCTGTCATATTTTCTAACAGCCTACTTTTCATATGATATCTTAATGTAATTTCTTTTTATCCAGTGTATCCTTTATCATGTTTTGGTCCTACTTAATCTGACTGATAAGGGTAATAAGCACCCCACTACAACAACATCCTTGTTGATATATGATCCTTTTTTTAAGTTTTTTTAAGTTCATTTATTTATTTTGAGAGAGAGAAAGACAGGGCAGAGGAGGGAGAGAATCCCAAGCAGTCTCCACACTGTCAGTGCAGAGCCCAATGAAGAGGTCAAGCTCACAGACCTTGTGATCATGACCTGAGCCAAAATCAAGAGTTGGGACACTTAACCAACTGAACCAGTCAGGCACCCCCATAATCCACTTTTTATTGTTATTTGGGAAATCAGAACTATATTTTGAATACATCAAACTGAATTACTTGCCATTTCACAAACATTCCCCCATTTTGGTTAGCCTCGGTTATTTCCTTACTGTTAATTCTTATATTGTAGAAATAACTTTTTCTTCCTCTCTGTGCCTAAAACCAACTAATTATTAAAATCTCAACCAATTTCTTTTATAAATACTTCCTTTATGCCACAAACCAAAAATAATCTGAATTCCTATTTAGTACCTTCTAGCCCTCTTAAGCATTTGATATATTCTAATATATTAGTTATTTCTGTACACCGTGAAGACATTACTAGTTTAATGTCTCTCAGAGTATTCTATATAGTATCTTATAAAAGGCACTTAAATGTTGAATGGGTATTTTATAAAATAATCCTCAGATACAAAAAAATAAGACATAGTCATAACCTGAGTATAGATGCCACAATCCAAAATGAAAAATGTATTTCTTCTTAAAAAATATTTATTTATTTTGAGAGAGAGCAAGCATGCAAGCATGAACAGGGGAGGGGCATAGAGAGAGAGGATGAGAGAGAATCCCTAGCAGGCTCCTTGCTGTCAGTGCAGAGCCCAACATGGAGCTTGATCTCATGAACCGTGAGATCAAGACCTGAGCCAAAACCAAGAGTTGGATGCTTAACCTACTGAGCCACCCAGGCATCCCTGAGAAATGTATTTCTAATTCAAGGGAAGAACATACCAGTGATGCTGTCCGTATAGTAGCAAAGTGTTCCCGATTACGATAGTGTGATTTATGACGAGACACTTGAGGTGGAGATTGTGGATCTGATGCTCTTGTTCTAGGATCTCCCTCTTCTCTGTAATTTTCTTCCTCCTAAGCAAAGAAGGAGACAATACTATTTGAGGTGAACAAATACAGTTCACTTGAACTTTCAAGAAAATTTAGAGACCATGTGGTCAATTTATCTTAAAGAAATAATTTTAAAAAGTAAAAACAAAAATTGAGAATGCTGACATTTTATTTTCAATATAATTAGAATCAGGAAACATTATTCCCTAAGTGTATGAAACAGCACACAGATTTAGGATAAGGAAATATATGAGGTTAGATTTATATCCTAATTATTATATATAAAATGGAAAAGGTTTAATAATTTTAAACAGCAGTCAAAAATTAATTACTCTAAGGCTCTTGGGTTTTGAAAACAATAATATATCTTTTTTTTTTTGAAAACAATAATATATCTTAAAAATACTTTTATAATACTTCTGCCTTCTGTCCAAAGTAAGTAATCAAAAAGTAACTGTAAATCTTTTAAGAAATGATGTCTTTCCTTATATATAGCTTAGTTCATTAACTGAAGAGGAAGTAAATTAAGTAGCAACCAACTAATTGTGGGAATAATCTTATTTTACTGCTGATTCTACTGCCTAAGGATGCAAAAATTAAACATGAGTTTGTCCTGAATAATACCACCATCATTCCTAAGCACTATTTGTGGGAGTGTAGTAAAATATATATAAAATTTGCCATTTTAACCATGTTTAGATGTACAATTCAGTGGCAATAATTATATTCTCAATGTTACACCACTACCACCATTTCCAAAACTTTTCCATCACCCCAAATGGAAATTGTATCTATTAACAAAAACTCTCCATTTTATCCTCCACTCAAGTCCCTGGTAACCACTAATCTACTTTGTGTCTCTACGAATTTGCTTATTCTAGATATTTTATGTAAGTGGAATTATGCAATATTTCCTTTTGCATCTGGCTTAATACCCCTTAGTGTTAACATTTCAAGGTTTACTTGCGTTGTAGCATATATCAGAATTTCATTCTTCTTTATAGCCGAATAATATTCCATTGTATGTATATACCATGGTTTATTTATGTATTCATCTGTTGATGAATACTTGGGTTAGTTCTACCTTTTAGTTCTTGTGCCTAATAAGCTTCTAGGTAATACTATAAGCTGTGAAGTTAAAAAGGAAGTATTCCTATTAGTTACTAAAAACAAGTTACCTGACTTTCAAATGTTTTCAAGAAAATTAAAAATTTTGCACTCAAAAGTATGAAGAATAATGTAGCAAAAATCATATTTCCTTTTTTTCTAAATATAATTTACTGTCAAGTTAGCTAACATACAGTATATACAATGTGCTCTTGGTTTCAGGAGTAGGTTCCCATGATTCATCGCTTACATACAACACTCAGTACTCATCTCAACAAATGCCCTTCTCAATGCCCATCACCCGTTCCCCCCGCCCTGCCCCCTCCTTCAAGCCTTAGTTTGTTCTCTGTATTTAAGTCTCTTATGGTTTGCCTTCCTCTCTGTTTGAAACTATTGTTTTCTCCTTCCCTTCCCCCATGGTCTTCTGCTAAGTTTCTCAAATCCCACATATGAGTGAAAACATGGTATCTGTCTTTCTCTGACTGACTTATTTCACTTAGCATAATACCCTCCAGTTCCATCCACATTGCTGCAAATGGCAACATTGCCAAGTAGTATTTCTCACTGCCAAGTAGTATTCCATTGTATATATGAACCACATCTTTATTTTAAAGATGTAAACATTACAGACAATGCAAGTCACTTTTGATCATTACCCACTGCAATCCTTTTTCCTACTCCCCAAAGACAACCATTATCATGACTTTCAAGTGTATACTTACTATTTGTAAATATTTTAAATACTTTATTTTTCATGAAACTAACTTCAAATTATATATTACCTAGTGTTTCTATATATGTCTTTCTTCTAAGATTTTTAAAATATTCTTTTTGTATTCTCAAAACAATAGGTTCCCAAATGCAGATATTATACTGGGAATTAACAAGCCTAATGTCACTTTAAAATAAGTTACCGAAAAATGTTCCAAAGTTCTGAAACATCCAAGACAAGCTCCTTATTAAACTAATCAGATAAAGAAAATTATTTACCAAAGCTGAAATTTTTTTTCACTGAAACCCAAATACTCACAGGTTTTAAATGGATGACAGAACTATTAGACATCACTGTGTGGTCTCCCTCCATCATATCTAGCTCACTCTTGTCATCTGAGGCATCTGGAAGACTGTTAACACTACTACTTTGGCTACTGGCACTGATGGACATACTGGGAATAGACTGATTACTTCCGACACTATTCACTGTTCCTGTCCGGCCAACACCATGATCTTGTTCCTAAGGGAAAAAAGCATTAGGTTCAAGTATCTTTATCTCTTTTGAATTGCTACTTATAATCACTTATCACAGTGCTTGGCACACAATCTTTAAGAAAGAAAATTAGAGGTCTATTGTGAGAAATTCCCTGTATTTGCCAAGACCAGGAAGGAAGTTTAGCAGCTGAAAAACAAACAAAATAAAAATGACCAACACCTAAATAACAAAAAGCCCAACCATGTCAAAAATTCAGTTAATCATTTATGGGTTATTTCTACAGTGTAGCATTTTCTTTAATTTGTCACTTTTGAAATCTATTTCTACCACACATCTCATGGGGTATAGAGAAAATTTTGCTCATTTCTCAATAACTCCCATACTTAAAATACACACCAGTCATTTTTAATTTTATAAATAACCCCTTTTAGTTATTTTTTAAGGAAGCCTTTTAAGTATATTTTCCTTCCTCAGAATATATTATCTAGCCTATCCTTCTTTCATCAATTTAGTATTAATTCCCATCTATTTTTTGTAAATTAAAAATTATGTATTACCTATACATTTAATCACATTCGTAAGAATGTTTTATGAAGTAACCAGGCAAGCCATGTTATCTGGGCACCAAAATTCTGTAAGATACGCAAAATTTAACACAGACATATGATTATATATATACATATGTGTATATATATATATATACACATATGTATATATATATCCCCAGCCTAAAAGAGATGCTGTTATAGATTTAACTACATTAGAATTTTATTAATTTTACAACTTTACTCAAATATTTCAGATATCTAAAAAAGCTCAAAGTAATCTTCTAGTGATCACTGTATGAACTAAAAAACAAAATGAACAACACCAAAACTGTAAGTTAAGAAAGTCTTGTATTTTCTAGTTCATTAATTATGTAGCACTATTAAAAAAGAAAAAGTAAAGTAAGTAACTATTGCTCCTGGTTTCAGAATGCAAACTGATCTCTCTGAAAAGTAGTAAAAAAGAATCAACAAATTCTGACAGGAACAAAGAAAAATGAAAATATTTAGAGTAAAAAAAGATAGCTCCACAAATATGTAGATTTCCTTGTGAGGAAGTTCTATAACATTTCTATTGCAAATTTATATTTCCATACCCTACAAAAGGCAACATGGAAAGAACTTGGCCTTGAGAGTGAGAGATACGTGAATTTGAACCCATATGAACCTATGAGAAATTAACCACTGAGCTTTGCTTTACTCATCTGTAAAATTGGTACTTTAGAACTGTGCAGATGGAATGAAATTATATAGAACTTCTGATTCAAGTATCCCTGGTGACAGAGCACAATGCTTTGTAATTCTAACGACTTCTGAATGAGTACTGTCAATTTCTAGAGTCTATAATTTCAAATACTTCCAAAAGCATGTCCCATGCAATCAGGTAATAAGGCAAAACAGGGTTCAGTAGCCAAAAAATTTGATGGAGTCTAGATTAAAGTTGAATAAGTTTCTTTAATAAAAGACTTTGCAGAGCTTTATCAGGTCATTGTGTACTACGAAGGGGTTAGGTTTAAAGAATGCAAAACCTTTTTTCCCTCCTGGGATCTTACAGGACCAATATTAAGAAAACACAATCTGGGAACCACTAATATAAAACATTCATGGCAAGACTAGGTGCATAAGGAAAGAAGCCAATAAAGAGGGCTCAATATTTGAGTCATTTCTAAGTTATTACCTCTTCTTCTTCCTGTGCTTCTACTGCTGGTCCGTTATGTGCCTCCTGGAAAAGGAGTTTCTTCATCTTTCGATACTGCAGATTGTCCAGCTCTCTTACTGCATCCTTTGTCCTTTGAATGAGATCTATTAACACTGTTTCAGGGCGCTCCCGAAGAACAAACATGTGCTGGATAAAAGAAGAAGGTGAAAGTCAGGTTGAAATTTATATATATATTTTTAATGCGTACAAATGTACCCCTTTCTCAAACAGTAGTTACTATCGTAATTAATCATAATAGATAATGCATATAATCTATAGCTATCTAATTCTACTACATTTTTGGCTTCTTAATTTACGAAATTGTCTTCTACATACACACACACACACACACACACACACACACTCTATGCATACTTAACTACCTCTGTGCATTTAATAGAAACATGATACCTTTGTTGGCTAAATGAAAATGCAGAGTTGAAATAAACAAAAAGTCCAATTAAACACTAAGAATTAAGTTCAACAGAGCCCTAAATAAAGGCTAAAAAAGGTTTACATATTCTTAAAACCGATTTCATAGAAAAGGCATGTACAGTTCTGAGCTGTATTAGGTTTCAACAGAAATGATTTTATGGTAAATTATGGTTAAAATCAAAAATGATTTTATAGTAACATAAACTTGGATAGTATGAGTTTCTTTATATGCTGTATAAACAACACTCCATAAAACACTAGCAGTTGATTAAAAGCCATTGTATAGTGATTTTTACCACTAACATTTAATAAATTCAACCTTATCAAATACAGAAAAGTACAAAGAACAATTCTATCATTATCACTGTTACATTTTGATACATTTCTTCAGAAATTTTCTATGTATAAATTTTGATTTATAGAAACACAGCATACAGGGGCGCCTGGGTGGCTCAGTCGGTTAAGCGTCCGACTTCAGCTCAGGTCATGATCTCACGGTCCGTGAGTTCGAGCCCCGCGTCGGGTTCTGGGCTGATGGCCCAGAGCCTGGAGCCTGCTTCCGATTCTGTGTCTCCCTCTCTCTCTGCCCCTCCCCCGTTCATGCTCTGTCTCTCTCTGTCTCAAAAATAAATAAACGTTAAAAAAAAAAGAAACACAGCATACAGACTGCAGAAAGACACCTTTTGCCTTGAGTTCTGTGAAATGTCCTTGAATTCTTGTAATACTTTTTACCTTTGTTAGTTCAAAAGCATTTCTTCTTTAAAGAATTTTTTTTGCCTTTTGATTTTTTTATTACTCAAAAAACTTCATTTTTTTATTTAGCTTTCTGATTCTGTGCTTATGCCTTCAACACTTTAACGATTTTCTGCTCCTCAACAGGAGAGCACACTTGATCCTGTCCCAAACACATATAGCACACCATAGGCCCTGCTGATGTATTTTTCGTTTTAGATAATCTCATAGGAACTGTAAGTGTCACAGCATAAACTCCTCAAAGTCAGTCTGGGCACACACCACATGGGGATTTTGGTGCTTTCCCACCCTTCTTTGTATAAAGAAGATTCTATTACCAGGGGTTCAGGACAGCCTAGTTTTGTTAGAACCTATATTGTATGTAGGACAGCCTATGACAGTATGTCAAATGCTGGACCATTCTGAATGCCTAAAGACACCATCCCCAGAAGAGGAAAAAGCTTCTGTAAAGAATTTTAATTATATGATATTTTATTCTACTTTCACTGTCGTAAGTATTGTTATTTCAAACTCATAAACACGAGGCCTATAGATTTTTAATTCTGAGATCGCTTCATACATTAAAATTTTTTTCTATTAGCTCTTTTTATGATGAACTGTAACAGAAATATAATTAGACCAAAGGGAAAGTACCAAATAGATAATTCCTATCATTTTCAGTAAGGCTGTGCCAATACATGCTATGAACTAGCAAAATGAATACTGTATGCAGACTTGGGATCTAACCACCAAATATCCAGGTCTCATCTCATGGGTTGTGTTATCATCACCAAATCACTTCTTTGCCTATAGTATAAGAAGACAGATTCTTTTTCCTGAGCCTTAGAAAGGTTAAGGTATCATGATTTACAATATTCGGTCTTCTTATCCAAAAATAATAAATCTTAAATTTCTAAGTTTAATAGTTTTCTACATATAAACCTTGCTTATTTAGGGGCACCTGGGTGGCTCAGTCGGTTGGGCATGCAACTTCAGTTCAGGTTATGATCTCACTGCTCGTGGGTTCGAGCCCCGCGTCGGGCTCTGTGCTGACAGCTCAGAGCCTACAGCCTGCTTCCAATTCTGTGTCTCCCTCTCTCTCTGCCCCTCTCCCACTCATGCTCTCTTTCTCCCAAAAATAAATAAATGTTAAATCTTGCTTATTTATCACTAACATAATTTCTAGCTATACTAAGCCTTTTGTTACTATTATAAATACCTATTTACCTAGGCTTTCATTTCTGAGACTATGAATGAACTTACTGCCTCAAATCCCACAATCATTACTGAAACTATATTGTTCTTCTACATACTGTGGTTCTAAATAATACAATCAAATTTCAGTTTCTTTGTATCTTTGATGTGTGTTAGTGAAAATAAATTAAACCTCTCTGAAATTATAGAACATTCATGTAAAAATGGTCTACTTAAATCTTATAGTGAAAAATCAACAATATCCTTTAGGGGCACAAGGAGACAGTCAAATCCTGCTTTATCTAGATGTTTCTCTACTACTGCTTTATCTAGATGTTTTAGGAACTATATTAAGTTCAACAATGTTATTATTGCTATTAATAACATGGCCAACCTCCAAATAAAATAATCAATTTTTGAGAATAAAGAGCATACACTAATCATGTGTTTAAACTAAGTAACCAAACACATTGAAAACCGAATAGAATTTACATGATTCTTAGAATATTTTCATTGCCAAGTTAGAAAAATTATTTCCAAAAAGGAAACAGAAACATGATATGCATTTTTAACAGTTTCTTTTAAAAGCTCTTTTCTCCCACAATAATTATACAGATATATTATACACCATTTCTCTTTCTTTCATATTATTTTAATATACAACTGATAAATATATAAAGCGTGGCAGACATAAAACTTAAATGAGAGCACCTGGGTGGCTCAGTCAGTTAAGCATCTGACTTCTACTCAGGTTATGATCTCAAGGTTAATGGGTTCGAGTCCTGTGTTGGACTTTGTGCTGACAGCTCAGAGCCCAGAACCTGCTTCGGATTCTGTGTCTCCCTCTCTCTGCCCCTGCCCCACTCGCACCCTCTCTCTTTCTCAAAAATAAATAAACATTAAAAATTTTTTTTAAATTAAATCCAAAGTTAAACTTTGTTTTACTAACTTTGAAATATGACATTGTTCCACATGAATTAAAATATGGAGTTATAACTCATGAATATATTCTTGCACTTACAAATGGCCAGTTGGTAGTATTTGGAATATACAACTATATGTTCTATTCAGACATGGTACAGCAGTTAATTAATTTTGGAAAAACAAATGAAAAAACTCTAAGAAAAGTTCCAAAAGAGAAGAGTATATAAAATGAGCATTTTAGTAAAAAATTAGTAGAGCATACTTTATTATTTTTTTTTTTAATTTTTTTTTCAACGTTTTTATTTATTTTTGGGACAGAGAGAGACAGAGCATGAACGGGGGAGGGGCAGAGAGAGAGGGAGACACAGAATCGGAAACAGGCTCCAGGCTCTGAGCCATCAGCCCAGAGCCTGACGCGGGGCTCGAACTCACGGACCGTGAGATCGTGACCTGGCTGAAGTCGGATGCTTAACCGACTGCGCCACCCAGGCGCTCCAGTAGAGCATACTTTATACTGACACAAAATCAAAAAAAGAATAAAACACCTTCTTTAAATTATTTTAATTTCTTAAGGGTAGAAAACAGACCAAGTAAAACTGACCTTTAAAAGTTCCTCTGATGTAGGGCGATCTTGAGGGATTTTCTGGAGGCAAGAATCTACAAAGTTGCGAAAATAATCAGACCTATTGTAAAGGAAAGTATCAAGTGAACATATTGCTATTTCCTTTTAAAACACATCCACAAACCATACAGAGAAGATCAGCATAGTCCCTGTGCAAAGACGACATGCAAATTCATGAAGTATTCCATATTTCTGAGCAATAGGTGTTGTATGTAAGTGTCAAATTACTAAATTCTACACCTGGAACTAATTTTACACTATATGTTAACTGGAATTTAAATAAAAACTTAATTAAAGAAAACAACATCCACAAATCAAGGCATGTGCCTACTGGTGGGAGGGGGAATGGAAAAGGAATTATCAAAAAAAAAGCAGATAAAATATATTGTATATTTTATATAAATCTATGAAAATCTATTTAATTTTTTTTAATGTTTATTTATTTTTGAGACAGAGAGAGACAGAGCATGAATGGGGGAGGGTCAGAGAGAGGGAGACACAGAATCTGAAGCAGGCTCCAGGCTCTGAGCTGTCAGCACAGAGCCCGACGTGGGGCTCGAACCCACAGACCATGAGATCATGACCTGAGCCGAAGTCAGACACTTAACCGACTAAGCCACCCAGGAACCCCTATGAAAATCTATTTAAAGGAACCAATGAATCTTTACCATTTTCCAAGGACAAATTTACACAGATTATTTAAAAAATCCTGCTCCCACAAGTTAAGAAACAAAACAAACGAGCAAAGGGGGGCAGAGAGGGAAGGAGTGGGGGGAGGGGGGAGAGAGAGGCTCAAACCAAGAAATGGACTCTTAACTATAGAGAACTGATGGTTGACAAAAGGGGGGTGTGTGGGGGGATGGGTTAAATAAGTGATGAGGATTAAGGAGTGTACTTGTCATGAGCCACAGGGTGATGTATGAAATGCTCAATCACTATATTGTACACCTGAAACTTACATTACACAGTATGTTAACTGGAATTTAAATAAAACTTAAAAAAAAAATCCTACTCCCACATATTTAAATATCATAACTTGTTCTATATTGAGGCAAAATTAGGGAAGCCAATCTTTCTTCTTTGCATTCAAATTTAAGATAACATTCTTTTCAATTTTTTGTTTCTTTTCTCTAAGCCATCTCTCTTTTTTTTTTTTTAATTTTTTTTTAACGTTTATTTATTTTTTTTGAGACAGAGAGAGACAGAGCATGAACGAGGGAGGAGCAGAGAGAGAGGGAGACACAGAATGGGAAGCAGGCTCCAGGCCCCGGGCCATCAGCCCAGAGCTCGACGCGGGGCTCGAACCCACGGACCGTGAGATTGTGACCTGAGCTGAAGTGGACACTCCACGACTGAGCCACCCAGGCGCCCTGCCATCTCTCTTTCTTGTTTGCCTCTTGGATCATCTTCTCTATTGCAACTTTAGAACATCAATCTATTTGTTTTGGAGGGAGCAGTTTTACACCTAAGTATTTAGTATTCCTAAATAAGTGCATAAACTTCCATTAAGCCCAGAAAATCAATTTAGATATTTTGTAAAACATCAAAAGTCTGCAATGTATTTTTATTTTATTATTTTTTTTTATTTTAAACATTTTTTTTTCAACGTTTTTTTTCTTTATTTTTGGGACAGAGAGAGACAGAGCATGAATGGGGGAGGGGCAGAGAGAGAGGGAGACACAGAATCGGAAACAGGCTCCAGGCTCCGAGCCATCAGCCCAGAGCCTGACGCGGGGCTCGAACTCACGGACCGCGAGATCGTGACCTGGCTGAAGTCGGACGCTTAACCGACTGCGCCACCCAGGCGCCCCTGCAATGTATTTTTAAAAAATGCTTATTGTTCTGAGAGAGAGAAAAAGAGAGGGAGTGAGGATGAATCGGGGAGGGCAGAGAGGGAGAAAGAATCCCAAGCAGGCTCCATGCTAACATCACAGGGATTGAATGAGGTCACGAACCATGAGCTCGAGACATGATAACTGACTGAGTCACCCAGGTGCTCTAGAAGTCTGCAACATATTATTATACAATGTTACTGATGAGGGTGAGGAAGGTAGTAATAATTACTTAATCAATGTTTGTCTTTCCATATTCACATAAGATTTTAAATTCCTTGAAGGCAAGAATTCTTTTTTGAATTCCTATGTATCAAAGAGTGTAACAATAGTCTGTGTTCAATATATTTATTACTAACATATACCATGATGGTAAACTCTGTGCCAGAAGATTCCTTCTACATATCTCTAAACAGGTAACAATGATCTACAAATCTGCCTTAAATATATAATCTTAAAAAAAATAAAGTTTCACTAATTTATGTAACTACTTGCGAATTTAAAAGTATTTAGCATTTTAGATATCTCCCCAGAAGTTTTTAAATGCTAGATATACTTGAATATACTTAGATACATACACTAAAATTTTCTATCAATGATAAAAATTCTAGTTTTCTAAAACTGTCAATCTGTCCTCTATAAAGTTCTTTACATGAATGAACTAATTTTATCAAATCAAGGAAGCACTAGAACATGGAATAACAAACCATTCTAAATATAAATATCATAGTAACAATTAGAACAATCGCAAAGTTATGAATTATCTGATAATTTTGATAAATCATTTTATCTATGCTTTAAACTTCATAAATTATAAACCATTCCCCCCCAAAATACCACTATAAGTTGTGGCAATCTATGTATTTTAGTTATAAAATACTGTTTAAATTAAGCTATTTATTATATAATCAGGGTTATATGTGTTCCAAAAGTTCAAAGAAAAAAATAAAATTTAAAATTTTATAAAAAGCAATACCTTTTGCTTCTCTGTGGCCTCATCTATCCTTTATTTCTGAACTGAGTTACACATATGTTACAAAAAGCAGAATATATAGAGGATAAACATGATGTAAGGGTAAAACAAACCAATTTAATATCTCTTCAAGTAATACACTTTACCTAATTGAATTAAATCATTTTGATAACATTATTTAAAAAGTATTTAATTTATACAATGTTGAGTAATATATGTCCAAGCAATACTCACCATTCATTAGACTGTAATGTAGGGGATTCATTTTGGGCTATGTGATATAAGGCACTCATTGCATTCATATTAAATAAAGGAGGCTTCCTTTCCGCTGTAAAAGAAAGAAAATTTTCCTGTTAAAATATGAGCCTATTAAAAAGAAAAAAATAATAAAATAAAATAAAATAAAATAAAATAAAATAAAATAAAATAAAATAAAATAAAATAAAATATGAGCCTGTTATATAGAGGCATGCTTGCAAATACTGTTAAAAAATTTTTTTTTTTTTGGAAATAGTCTCAAACTTAGCAAAAAAATTTCCAAGTAGAGCTCAAAGAACCTCTTCTTTTCTTTTTTCTTTTTAAAAAAATTTTTTTAACTTTTATTTATTTTTGAGAGACAGAGCATGAACAAGGGAGGAGCAGAGAGAAAGGGAGACACAGAATCCAAAGAAGGCTCCAGTGTCTGAGCTGTCAGCACAGAGCCCGATGTGGGGTTTGAACCCATGAACTGCGAGATCATGACCTGAGCCAAAGTCAGAGGCTTAACCGACTGAGCCACCCAAGCGCCCCTCAAAGAACGTTTTCAAGTGAGTCAATTTACACTACGTTGCTGGCTTAATACTAAGTTGCTGGCTTAATGTCCTACCACCCCTAAATACTTCAGTGTACTTTCTATAAATAAGAACATTCCACTAAAGCACCACAATTAAATCAGACCATTAATACTGATACAGGACTATCCTCTAATCCTCAACCCCCATTCAAATTTCAATCAAAGTTCCAATAATGTCCTCTGTAGCAAAAGCAAGCCTTGATCATTTGCATCAAGGAATGGGTGAGTCTTATCTAAATTGTTAAATTAACATAAAATTGTTCATAATACCTTCCTATAATCCTTTTAATACCTGTAGTAGTGATGTCACTTCTCATTCTTGATATTGGTAATTTGTGTCTTCTTTTTTTCCTGATCAATCTGGCTAGAGACTTTAATTGATTCTTGCTTTGATTTTTTACATTCTCTTTCTTCTGCTTATTTTGGGTTGAATTTACTCTGTTTCTTTTCTTTCTTTTTTTTTTTAAAGTAGGCTCCACACTCAACATGGGGTTTGAACTGATGACCCCAAGATCTAGAGTCGCATGCTCTACTGACTGAGCCAGGTGCACCTTGCTCTTCTTTTTCTAGTCTCTTAAGGTAATAGCTGAAGTCACAACCTTGACAATTTTGAAGTGTACAAGACTCTTGAATGTTCCTCAATTTGAATTTGTCCTATGATTAAATTTGAGTTATACATCTTTGGCAGGAATATGAAGAAGTAAAACATATTTTATCATTGTTACATTTTCTCAAGAGGTGGTGCATGATTTTGAATGATTCCATTATATTAAGTTTATATATTTATTTTGAGAGTGAGCGAGCACGCACGTGAGCAGGGGAGGGACAGAGACAGAATCCCAAACAGGCTTTGAGCTGTCAGCACACAGCCCAGTGCGGGGCTCAATCTCATCAACCAGGAGATCATAACCTGAGCCAAGATCAAGAGTCTGACACTTAACCAACTGAGACACGCAGGTGCCCCTTCCCACTTTTAAATAAAGTTGACTGGAATACTTTTATAAGAAGAAAAAAAAGGAAAGAATATTGGACTGGAAGGGGAGAAGCATGGAGAATCAAGAGCAAGAAGATGGACATCATCATCAATTACAGTCACAGTTCAATTATCTACCTGGCTCACTTACACTGGGAATGTTAGGTCCCACCCTGGGAATGATGGTACACTACCTTTAGCATAGCTCCCTTTATGGGCAACAGAATAAAATGTGTGCAGAAAATCAAACTGTTACAATATGGCATGAGGTCCAATATCTAACCCTCATACTTAACTCAAAGTAAGAAGTATCCTAGGCAGAGGTAAGTAATTCATAAATGCTTTAGACACTTTCTACCTAAGGTAAATATAGTAATCAGACATATTTTACATGTTTAACAAATACTCATTAAATATTGGACATAGATACCTGAAAATTAGCATCACAGTGCAAAATTATTTTAGGCAATTTAACAAAGCAAATATAATATACCTAAGGAACAATGCTTACCTAGTTCAATACATGTTATTCCAAGAGACCATACATCTACTTTGCCATCATACTGTCCTTCATCCATGGCTAAAATTACTTCTGGGGCCATCCTAAAACATAAAATGACATTTAAATTAAAAGCAAAAAAAGGTATACTATGCTTTTTTTTTAATGTTTATTTATTTATTTATTTAGAGATAGAGCACAACGAGCAGGGGAGGGGCAGAGAGAAAGGATGAGAGAGAATCTCAAGCAGGCTCCGAGTTGTCATCACAGCTTGTCATCAAGCCGAAATCAAGAGTCTGACACTTAACTGGCTGAGCCACCCAGGTGCCCCAGTATACTATTCTTTAAAAATATAATGACCATCTACATAGAGAACACCTGTGTGAATTCTAGACGAATTCTAGACATTATGTCTGGATGTAAGAATTTTTATAATGAGAAATAAATGCACCACAGGCTGTCAGGTAAATATTTACCATTGCATATATAGTGTGAGACTCACTCTCCCCATTTGTCATGATCATGTAACAGCATCCTAAAGAAAGGATGCCCCAGAGCAGGGCTGCATACTGTAACATTGTATAATTCTTGGGCCAGTAAGTCTTAACTATTTGGATCTCAGGATCCCACTACAAAAGTCTGATTTATGCTTGAAAGATGGAATTTCATCATTGACAATACTGTCAGTTGTTTTCCTTCATGTGACAAGCTCACTCCATGCATTTAAGAAAATATCTGCCACAATAACCAACACCGAATAACAATAGTTTGTCAGTCTTCCTTTTAAATAGGAACAGTGCTCCATGATACACATGGCTAGAGTAGCTCATAACGAAGACAATTACACAATTATCAACCTTACAGGTAGGTGTCTTGGTTATAAAATGGAACATAAATTCATGTTTCCAATTAGACATTTTTTAAAAACTGTTTTTTAATGTTTATTTTTGAGAGAGAGCGGGAGAGACAGTGTGAGTGGGGAAGGGCAGAGAGAGAGAGAGAGAGAGAGGGAGACACAGAATCCAAAGCAGGCTCCAGGCTCTGAGCTTTCAGCACAGAGCCTGAGGCAGAGCTTGAACTCGCAAACTGTGAGATCATGACCTGAGCGGAAGTCAGACGCTTACCTGACCGAGCCACCCAGGCGCCCTTAGAGTCTAAACTTTTTTGATGGTACTATACTTCATCTGTTTTTGGTGTTAAGCACAGACTGACCCTTAGAACAGTTGCTAATGTTCACTAGGATTGTCACCAGACACCCCAGTGTATGTGAGTGTGTGTGTCTGCATGTAAGTGTAAAGACATCCAAATATGTACCTCGTTACTATGCTCCAAATTCTCTATATACAAATTAACAAGTATGTAAATAAAGTAAATTTTCAATGGTCAATAGAAGAGTGTTTCCAAGGTGTTCTTTAAAATGTTGAAGTAAGTTTGGGAAATTACTAAGTTAAGGAGAGCTAAACAGGGTAATTTTGTTTTTTATTTGTAGAACTTTTCAGGGCTTTTTTAGTATCTAATATTCATCATTAATTTCTAAACAGAAGAATCATTAAGAAATATTATTTGCTCACAGAACCCTTTTTTATAGAAGGGAAATGGACTCTATCTAAACTAGAGTTCTACATAAGAAATTTTTGATCATCTAGAGCAGTGGAAGAGTAAAAACTCTTCAAGTTTTTAATTTGTTTACCTCCAATGAATTTATGAAATCTATTTATCCCCTTGTATACTTTTACATTCTCTATATTTAATAATTTAATAGCTACAAAGGATATAATGTGCAGCTTATGTATATACTTTATATTGTATATGTGATTTAAAGATATTTAAAACGTGGAGTTACAGAGTTGTTTTATTAAACAGCAGTAACAACAACACACTGCTGTGTGGCCAAATTACCAAAGCCAGTCTTCACTGTCCTATCAATCAGTCAAATCAGAATCACTTTCTGTCAAAAAAGTCTGACTTCATTTTCAATGCCAACATGTTAATGTGTCCCTATGACAGCCATCTCAGTTATGAATTTTACACTAGAAAAAAAGAAGGGAGAGAAGATAACTGGGGAGAGAGAAAAAGCAAGGAGTAAAAGGAAGGGGAGGAAGAGGACTCGAAAGGGACAAGGGCTTGCTAAGACTTTGTATCCTGACTCTTCAGTATTTCTGATAATTACTATACATTCTCTCAAATTGTACTTCTGCTATTGCTTTGAGGCTATTACATCCCAGACCAACGCATCATTGTAATATTCAGGATGGGTAAGAAGTCCTTCCTTTATAAAGTGAGAGAGGGAGATTTGGAAAGTGGGTGGTAAAGAAGATGTAGTGGACCTAAGACATCACTCTCACCATACACAGAGAACATGTGGGAGTTGAAGATCTGGACAATTATTTCCTTCAAACTTGCTAACATTAATAACGAATTATTTATGGATAAAATAGACGATGCCTAGAATTTGCTTCATAATAACTGGTAGTGGGTGGGGGAGGTGGGGAGGAAGGAGAGAGAAATGAGTACATAGGGCAGGACTTTTACTGGGTTGGGTGACTGGTATGTGAGGCTTCATTACACTTTTGTCTACTTTAATGAGTATGTGAAATTCTTCATAATTAAAAATAAAACCAAAAAACTCCAAATCAGCTATCAGCCTTCAGATACTCCTAGTCTGAAGACACAGTAAGTATCAATCTAAAGAACACACAGAAATTTCCACTTAGCATTTCTATCTTCTCCTCACTTGGATTTCATTGAATTTTTTCACTCCCACACCCAAAATATGATGCAGATTATAATATGGAAGAAAATATCAAGAGGACAAATGAAAAAACAGGAGATCCAAGGGCAGCACTCCAAATCTGTATTTGAAACTAACTAGGTTTAAAGTTAAGATGTCCAAAATAACATTATATTACCAGGAAAAAGATAAGACATCTGAAAAAGTATCACCACACATCGCCTATTTCAATTATGAGGATCAATAGCAAATAGGATTATTCTTACCAATATGGTGTTCCCACAAAAGAATTGGCAGGAGATGCCATGGAAGCTGATCCAAAGTCAGCAAGTTTCACTTGGCCTGGTTCTGTCAGAAGGATATTTCCTGCTTTGATATCTCTGGGTTTAAGGAACACAGAAAATTATTTCTCTTTCCTTCATTAGATTATGTTGAGATGATAAAAATCAAATAATAGTTTTTAAAATAGGAAAGGAGAAATCAAAATAATTAAGTCCTTGGATAATCTCTCAATTAGGACAAGGAGATGTAAGATCCACATTAGAAAACAAGAAATACGGAAGTAATATAAATATACAGTAACAATTTTCTAAAAGAGAACACAAAATGGCAGTAAAAACAAGACAGAAAAATCAAGTAATTAGAGCATAGTTTATATTTGAGTTCCCGTTTATTGTTGCAAATAGTGGTTTTAAAAATGGAATTTAATTAGCTGACCACTCCATAATAATATATACTATACATATATAGTATAGTATAGTACAGTATAGTATAATATAATATAATAATATAATTTGAGTACACCATTTAATGAAAGAAAAAAAGAGAAATTTCATACCCAAAATTTTTTGAAAGGTTATTCTTCTCATTTCCAAACCTTAGCATAGTTCTAACTAAACATGAAATGAAAACTGAAGCACACAGATAATATAGTATCCAAAGATCCCAAATTTATTTCCAAGCTTACTTTTTAAAGTCAGCAAACATACTGTTCATGCAAAATAAGAAAATTAGGAGTATTTATATAATGGGATTATATGTCCAACTGGCACCATAACATACATTTAACCTTTCAAAAAAAATTCCAAGCACTTGTCAATTCTTACTATAGTATTGTAATGGATATAATATTAAATAAATCTTTCTCCTTCCACTTATTTTTTATTTTTTAAAGTTTATTATTTTTTTTAACGTTTATTTATTTTTGAGACAGAGAGAGACAGAGCATGAACGGGAGACGGGCAGAGACAGAGGGAGACACAGAATCGGAAGCAGGCTCCAGGCTCTGAGCCATCAGCCCAGAGCCTGATGCGGGGCTCGAACTCACGGACCGCGAGATCGTGACCTGAGCTGAAGTCGGACGCCCAACCGACTGAGCCACCCAGGCGCCCCTGAAGTTTATTTATTTATTTTTGAGATAGCATGCACATGCAGGGGATGGGCAGAGAGAGAGAGGCGAAGGAGAATCCCAAGCAGGCTCTATGCTGTCAGGACATGGGGCTCGGATCCCAAGAACTTGAAGATCATAACCTGAGCCAAAATCAAGAGTTGGACACTTAACCAACTGAGCCACCCCAGTACACCATCCTTCCACTTGTTTCTTGAAAGAGGAGAGGTACTTTGATGTTGATAAGACCTTAGTTTCTAATTCCAACTCTTCCATTCACTTATTTATTAGCATGTGGATTTCTCTTGGACCTTACTATCCTCATCTAAAAAATGATAAGCCATTTAACTCACAGTGACTCTACTATATAGTTTAATATGTATTGCCTGGTTCACATATATGAAAAAAAAAGAGCTAGTTTCCTTCTAAAATAGACAAAACCTAAATCAATGCTAAAAATATATTATAAAAGTTCAGTTTTTTTGTTTTTTTTTTTGAGACAGCAAGAGTGAGACAGCATGTGAGTGGATGGAAGGACAGAAAGAGAGGTGACAAAGAATCCCAAGCAGACTCCCCAGTGCCAGCACAAGCCCGGTGGTACGATGGAAGCTCGAGCCTGACACGAAGGTGGATGCCACGAACCGTGGGATCATGACCTGGGCCAAAAGAGTCAGATACTTAACTGACTGAGCCACCCAGACTGCCCTAAAATAGTTTGTTTAATCTTAAAGTATTACCCATGATTATGGATTATCAAGGATTAACGCTCAACAGCATAAAGAGTGTTCAGTCTATGTTGTGGGATCAATGGCACAACTCTAGCATTATCAGTTACTGGAAGGACAAAACACCTAGATTTAGTTCTAGTCTAGTTTATTTGGCTTTGTAAGCACTTCGGAAAAAGTAGGCACGAATTGGGGCTTCAATTCCTTTATTTGTAAAATCAAAAAAGGTAAGACTATATAATCCCCAATGTCTTTTCCATTTTACAAATTAAATGATGCTACAATTAAATTCCTACCACAATCTATAAAGTGCACATATGTCGGAAAACCCAGTAACACATGCAGACAAAGATAAAAATAAACCTAAAGGGAGATCAAATGTTTGTAGGACAACCTAAAAAACATATGTTTTTAAGATTCTGAAATGCTTTTATTTGGCTACAACCAACACAATTTACAGGGTTAATAAGTTCCAGGGTTGATAAACGCAATAAGCCATTTGCTGCTAATACATAATAATTTTTAAAGTGCTTACCTATGGATCATGGTATGAGAATGTAAGTAGGCTAATCCCTGGAGAGCACCATGTGTAATTGCTGCTATTTCCACTTCTTGTAATGGCTTTTTGTGAACTTAAAATAAGAATTTATTGGAAAATAATTACTATACAGAATATTTTTGTTCAAAAAGATACACATATCTAATATATGTGGCTATTTTTGAAAACTAACATTTAACAAGAAGATTTACTTCCCAAGACAATAAAACAAGGCTATTGAACTTTATAATTAGTATTACAGTTGTGCTTAGCTGTTAAGTAAATAATTCACAGCCAATTTTCCCCTAAGCTAACAACATGTAAGAATTAGTTGATTATAAAAACAAAAGTAACAGAAGAGAAGTTCTCCCTTTATTCTCACACATCTTCATTCTGAACAGAAGGGACAGATTAAGCTAAATGACAAAGAAGGAAGAAAAATGCTTGTTACAAAGTCATAATGTAAGAAAACTCACCTAGTTTTGCTACTACAGAATAGTGCATACCATGCTAAGAACCTACAAAAGGCTAAGGTTCTTACTCTTTGTGGAAAGCTTTTATAGTATTTAAGAAAATCATACGGAATTCTCATTTTATTTTGTTAATAATTTTTACCCTTAATAATTAAAGGAAACCTACCTTCCAGTAAATCTGAAGCAGATCCTAAGCAATATTCCATTACCAGCTACATAGGAAGAAAAATTATAAAAGCATTAAATTAGTAAAAAGATTCTATTTGAGATAAAATAAATTCACCAAGGAGATCAAGAACATGGTTTGATGTCAAGCAAACACTAGTCATCATTTACCTTAAAAAAAAAAAAAACTATACATTTAACAATTTGTTAAATGATAGAGTTAAGCCAATGATACATTAATTTTTTTATGCCAACATATAATCACATGTATAAGATGTGTATTTCATTCATACTTACTAACTAAAACTATAAAGGAATATAGTTACTTGTTAGGAATTACTGTTAGGAAATGGAAAACTGTCCTCTGGATCTATATGCACAAAGTTTAGGTTACAGTTTAAATGTTTCTTTAAAGCAAACGCAGAGCACCTCCTGTGGGTCAGGTTATCTTATGTACATTAATTTAATCCTCATAACCACCTTATAAGGTAGGCCCTATTATTACCCTTGGGGATCATTTCTGTTAAAAGAAAATGTGGCCTTTTCCTCTTTAAAGATGCAGTTACTATGCCTCTATCACTGCTGGATTACTGCTTTGTCACCTCAATGGTAACAAGACAAAATTAATCTCTACCCTTTGTAATAAAGTGTCTCAATTCTCTACAGTTAGTATTATTCAGCCAAGGAATTATAATCAGTTCATACTTCACCAAGAGTCACTAAGACTTCACCAAGATCTTTGTGGTTAAATAGATTACAATATATTTATGTCAAAAAGGTATGCTAACTTTCATCATTGAATAATAGCATTGTTTTTACAATGTTTGATAAACCATTTGAAAAATGATGCTACTAAAAAATGTCAGCGAGCAGTTTACCATGCACATAAAGGTCAGTTAAATCTCTGTAGTAAACTTGCAAAAGTTCTATTATCTCTTATTGCCAAGGAGTTCTAAGAAAAGCTGCTCTTCCTCTCTCAGAATGAACTAACATTTCAAGGTGTTTTTGCATGGCTTTACACAACTATTTTGAAAAATTCTTGAATTAATTAATTCTAAACCAAAACCAACTAAATTACAGCAAGGGGAGAAAACACCTACCCATGCTGTGTGCTCACGTAAATAGCAGCCTTTGTATTCTATACTGTTGGGATGTTTTATTCTTTGTAGAAACTTGACTTCCTTAATAATATCCTGCCATTTCTGTGGGGAGAAAAAAAGGAATAAAAGAAAGAATTATGAAAAGTTGCTTTCCTTTAGAAAGCTATATAAGAAAAAAAGGAATAACTAGAGTAAGCAGGGTTAATGCTTTATTTGTAATATTTAAATATCAAACTAACAAATTTAAAAGAAATCACATTTATATACTTTAAACTCAATTATATAATTTATAAAAGTATTTTATTCAAGGTAGAACAAATTTTAATTTGATAAAATTTATCATCAATGAGTATCATTAAAATTTTACAACCACACACCAAGGATGTTGATAAAAATTACATGCTATATTTAGTGATTTTTCTTCAGTTCAGCTTCCCCTTTCTTATTTGCAGCTTTACTAACATATAATTTACATCTCATAAAGGTGATCTATTGTGTTTCTGGCTTATGTCTTGTACCAAATATTAAGATTGTTTGTTTTTAAAACTCAAATAATTACTGTTCTATTTAAATTCCTAAATGTATACTTGCTAAATGCTAGCAAACAATTGTTATTATGTAGGAAAGTTCACAGAAAAAGCAAGCTGTATGAAAACATTTTCTTACAAATTTTACTTAAGAGCCTTCTTCACTGACAGCTATGAGGAAATACAGATAAATCTTTGGACATAAGCTACTCCAAGACAACCTTAGACACTTTCATCATATCCTAAACATACTTACTCTTAAGAAGCAACCAGACAACTCTGAAAAAACAGGTCCTTGGGCCAAAAAATCAAAGAATCTAAGGGTTTAGTAGATGTGGGAAGGAAACTAGGAATCTGCTTTTGGCTCTTGTTCAAGGTTTTCCACTAACAGGCCACATTTCTTAAGGCAGGGAAACTAGCATAATAGAAAACTTTAAGGAATGTTTTGTACTAAAATTTAAGATCATGCATTTCCTATTTTATTTCACAAGTCCTCAACAAAATACAGTGAAATATGTACAGTGTTTTATATAAAATGTGTATGATACAAGATCCTCAATTCAGAAAATATTTCATGGGCTTTAAATTTCATATTTGAATGCTCTGGAACACAAATTCAGAACACAACAAAGCCAGTATTTGTAAACGGAGAAAAGACTTTCATGAGGACTATTCCTAACATTCTTGAAGGAGTATTAGATGTGAAAAGATGATACACTAAAATGATTCTTTCTTCTAGGTGTAACTAATCAAACAGACTCCAACACAGTACCAGTCTGCTGTGAAAACTACTTCTGAAGTTGTGCTATAGAAATGGCAAATAAAATTAGACTGAACTTATAAGAAATGGAATTTTTTTAGGAGTTTTAGGAATTTTTAAAAGATTTTTTTTTGGCATCAAAATAATGGAAGAATGAAATAATCAGTAGTGTTACCATACCCATTGTACGATCTTCACAAAACCCTGATTTACCATAAAATAGAGATTCCAAAGGTATAGAAAACCAAAATGTTTAAAAAGTGAAGACTAACCCAGCAATTCCACCTCTGGGCATACACCTGAAATTACGGAAAGCAGAGATTCACAGAAGTATTTGTATATCCAGGTTCATAGCAGCACAATAACTAAGTGGTGGAAGCAACCTAAGTTTCCACTGACAAATGAATGGATGGATAAACAAAATGTGGTCGTTTATACACACATACAGACAACTATCCAACCTTAAAAAGGAAGCAATTCTGACACATATTATAACAAGGATTAACTTTGAGAACGTTATGTTAAGTGAAATAAGCCACTCACAAAAGGGCAAATACTGCATGATTTCACTTATGTGAGACACCTAAAGTAGTCAAATTCCTAGAGACAGAAAGTAGAGTAATGATTTCCAAGGGAAGGAGAGAATGGGGAATTATTGTTTCGTGGGTACAGAATTTCAGTTTTCCAAGATGAAAAGAGTTCTGGAGAAGAATGGCCATGATGACTGCATGACAATGTGAATGTCTTCAATGCCACTGAACTGTACATTTAAAAATGGTTAAAATGTTAAATTTTGTTAAATGTATTGTATCGCAATTACAATAACTAAATTTAAAAATTAAAGCCTAAAGATTCTGTATTTTAAAAACTACATGTTAGGGGCGCCTGGGTGGCGCAGTCGGTTGAGCGTCCGACTTCAGCCAGGTCACGATCTCGCGGTCCGTGAGTTCGAGCCCCACGTCAGGCTCTGGGCTGATGGCTCGGAGCCTGGAGCCTGTTTCCGATTCTGTGTCTCCCTCTCTCTCTGCCCCTCCCCCGTTCATGCTCTGTCTCTCTCTGTCCCAAAAATAAATAAACGTTGAAAAAAAAAAATTAAAAAAAAAAATAAATAAATAAAAACTACATGTTATAAAATGAATTCATATAATAAATAGAATAAATAGAATCTGACAAGAACTAATTGAGTAATAGAGAACTAAAGTGGTATCAATGTAGAATCAGTAATTTTATTTTTTGTTTCTCAAATTATTACACACTGCCCATTTTTCAGACTATACTGCCTGTTGATTATTAAAGTTTGTTTAAAATAAGTCTTACACAATTTCTAAACCACTAAAAAATTATACTCAATATAATTTATTGTTAAATGTATCTTACTCTAGTTTACCTCCTCAGAAACTGGTAATTTCTCTATGATAGAGTTATGTATTAAACCACAGTTTAGGGGTGCCTGGGTGGCGCAGTCGGTTAAGCGTCCGACTTCAACCAGGTCACGATCTCACGGTCTGTGAGTTCGAGCCCCGCGTCGGGCTCTGGGCTGATGGCTCAGAGCCTGGAGCCTGTTTCCGATTCTGTGTCTCCCTCTCTCTCTGCCCCTCGCCCGTTCATGCTCTGTCTCTCTCTGTCCCAAAAATTAATAAACGTAGAAAAAAAAAATTTAAACCACAGTTTAAAAAAGTATATAAGCTCACTTCAGCAGCACATATACTAAAAAATTAAAAGCAAGGGACACAAGCTGGAAGGCTTTTGGCATGCCACAAATGTCCTGTTTAAGGTTCTAGGCACAATTTTAATGGGTATATTTAGTTTCTGAAAGAAAATTCACTGTGATAGACACTTAATATTTCTACTCTTTTCTTTAGGTACGTTTTACGTTTCTGAAAGAATTCCCATCTACCCCTAATTAAAACCAGTATGTCATTCTCTAACATACCAGTAAGAATGTATATATTTCACCCACCTCAGTAGACTGCTTCCCACTGTAAGACATTTTCTTGATAGCCACCACTTCATTGGTGCGCACATCTCGTGCCTAAAAAAATAAAGGACCGTTGTGAAAATGAACACAATAAATCTGGGCAATTATTTATCTCTCTGAGCATAAAAGCATTTATAAGCTATCATGTCAAAAAGGACACCAAAAGTGCTTTCAAATACCTTAAAAAATAATAAATATATATGAAAACTTATCAAATTATCCAGGAGCTCATACTTTGGAAAGAAAAATAAAGCAAGTTTATTTTTAGTGATCTACTTGAGAGAAAAAATATAGAAATTTTAATAGTACTATAAACAGAAAGAAAACAAGACTAGTTAGTATATGTAAGTCTATGCTAATCGATTTTGAAATCTCAATGAAATGGACAGTTTTCTAGGTAAGAATAAAACTGATCTAAAGAAAAAATGTAAAAAAAAAAAACAATGGTGGCAGATTGAATACCAATTAATTATCTTTAAAATAGCCTTAAGTGGAAAATAGTTTTACCAGGGGAAATTTCCAAGATATAAGTGGGAACAAAGGAAAAGATATCCCATTAGTTTTATGAAGGCAGTATAACCCAATAACTAAAACCTCACAAACAGCACAAAATAGAGTACCAATTTTGTTTGAAAATATAGATAAAAGCTCTAAATAAAATTTAAAAACCAAATATTACATGGCATTAAAAGAAATTTTCATTGGATAAAATATACTACAATCATATAAATGCAAAAGACTCTGATAATAGGAAAACACTTCATCATTTCAATTTTTTTTAAGTTAAAGGGGAAAAATACTATGTAAATGCTCAATAAATGCTAGAAATGCAGGAAAGGCCGAATGCTAAATGTACTCAGCTGCAGGAAAGGTAAAATTCCTAGCAAACCCAGATGAGAAAGGTAATTCCTCAACATGACAAATCATGTCTATTGTAAACAACTGCTAATCAGAATTAGAATGCTACAATGATATCACAATTATTTACCATTCTTATGGAACTTCTGAAAAAAGTAATAAAAATGTAACAGAAAGACAATTTTTAACTCTTGGAAAGGAAGGCCAAACTCTTACTATATGTATATATACACACACACAGTATTGAGTTCATAAAAGGGTCAAGACCATCTCAAATCACCTGTGGAAGAAATGATCTTCAGTTTAGACTTTAATAAATTCCAAAAGGTCAAAATACTCTAAAATTAATTATGATGACAGCTATAACTCCTATTTGCTAAAATCATTGGAATGCACAATTAAAGTTGGTGAACTTACGGTATGTAATTCATGCCTCAAAACTTGTTAAAAAAATAAATAGCACATATGTAAATTATACCTCTACAGCATTGCTTTAAAAACTTTTCAAAAAAAGACACTGTTTGGGGGGCGCCTGGTGGCTCAGTTGATTAAGTGTCCAACTTCGGCTCAGGTCATGATCTCATGATTCCTAAGTTCAAGCCCTGCGTTAGGCTCTGTGCTGACATCTGGGAGCCTGGAGCCTGCTTCAGATTCCGTGTCTCCCTCTCTCTCTCTGCCCCTCCCTGCTCTCTCTCTCTCTCTCTCAAAAATAAACATTAAAAAAATTTTTTTTAATTTTTTTAATGGAATTATATGTGGTCTTTTGTGTTTGCTCCTTTCATTTAGCATAATGTTTTCAAGATTCATGACTAATGATGTTAAGCATCATTTTTTGTGCTTCGTGGCCATTTGCGTATCTTCTTTGGAGAAATGTTAATTCAGATCCTTTACCCATTTTTAAATTGTCTTTTCATGACTGAGTTATAAGAGTTCTTTATATTCTAGACAAATCCCTTATCAGATATGTGATTTAAAAATATTTTCTCCTGTTTTGTAGATTGTCTTTCAAAGTTTTGAAACACAGAAGTTTTTTTTATTTTGATGAAGTCCAGTTTTTGTATTTAAAACATTTTTTAATGTTTTATTTATTTTTGAAAGAGAGAATGTGAGCAGGGGAGAGACAGAGGGGGACAGAGAATCGGAGGTGGACTCTGTGTAGACAGCAAAGAGCTCAATGTGGGACTTGAACCCATGAACCATGAGATCATGACCTGAGCTGAAGTCAAGACGCTTAATTGACTGAGCCACCCAGACGGCCCTATCTACTTTTTTTTGTCGCTCATGCTTTTGGTGTCATATCTAAGCATCCTTTGCCAAAACCAAGATTGTGCAGATTTACCCCTATGTTTTCTTCTAAAGTGTTATAGTTTTAACTATTACATATAGGTCTTTGATCCATTTTGGAAAAAAAAATTTTTTTAAGGTTTATTTTTTATTTTTGAGACAGAAAGAGAGCACGATGGGGGAGGGTCAGAGAGAGAGGGAGACACAGAATCTGAAACAGGCTCTAGGCTCTGAGCTGTCAGCACAGAGCCCGACACGGGGCTAGAACTCACAGACCGCGAGATCATGACCTGAGCCAAAGTCAGATGCTTAACTGACTGAGCCACCCAGGCGCCCCTCTTTGATCCATTTTGAATTTTTACATATGGTATGAAGGATCCAATCTCACTGTTTTGCATTAAACAGCTGCACTTTTTAATTAACCTAAGATAAAGCTTGATTTAAAAGTGGGTATACTAGGGGCGCTTAGATGGCTCAGTAGGTTGAATATATGACTTCAGCTCAGGTCATGATCTCATAGTTCATGGTTCAAGCCCCGCAATGGGCTGTGTGCTGACAGCTCAGAGCCTGGAGCCTGCTTCAGATTCTATGTCTCCCTGTCTCTTTGCTCCTCCCCTGCTTGTTCTCTTTCTCTCTCTCTCTCTCTCTCAAAAATAAGTAAACATTAAAAAATAAAAGAGGGTATACCAAATGCAAATCAATATTCTGGATCAGATTCCAAAAACAGAAGAGACAGTAGTTTTAAAAACTGGAAAACTCTGAGTATCTGGTTTATAGTATCATTTGATCAATATTGATTTCTTAGTTGTGATAAAGGTAATGTTGATAAAACATTATATAACATGTTAACATTAAGAGAAATGGGTGAAAATTACATGGAAAGGGGCGCTTGGGTGGCTCAGTCGGTTAAGCATCTGACTTCAGC